TTACTCTTCGCCAGGGTATCGTCATTTCGACCCCGGGCATGTCTGTGCCATGTCCATCTCATTTGGTCCTTGTCCCCGACATCTGCAATCACAATCGTCTCCGTCACAAATGACACGATGCCAGGCCATTGTATCCGTCGGCAGCAGGTACGATGATACTGGTACAGCGCATACTTTGTACTCCGTACGGCCTGGCCAGAGGCGTCCACGACGCGTCGCATTGGTGCCGTGGCAGGCATGCACATAATTTGGCCACAGTGTCCAACCGGAACAAAGATACCCATGACGAGCTGTGGTCCGGCAGACATCCAGCCAGCATCCTCCACAGCCGCCTGACTGCCAGACTGGGGCACTCATGAGAAAGGGAGGGGGGGTGACACTGGCCACGGCAGTCACATGGCAGTAACCAGGCCCGTCTCTGGACCTTGAATCCATGGGCCAAATTGCTTCCTTTGTTGATGTAACCATTGAACCCAACGGAACAGTAATGGAAAATTACAGGGACTTGTACGGATATCCGTATGGGTTCTGACGACTGACTTTTGGACATCTTTGTGGCACCTGAATCTTTAGTTTCAAATATTGTCCTGTCGATGCAAATTGGCATCAGAGATTGCACGCACAATGCAATCTATCTTTCCGATTCTCCTCCAGTGTGGGCAAGACATGCGAATATCCGTTATGTGTACTCCATACTGAACTTGGTACGTATATTTACTGGACAGAGGCGTGCGGCACAAGAGTGTGTTGCCTGTTTGCCCCCCTTCGCGAATCCGCGATCCGTCTAGACATGATCAGCCCAGTTTCTGCAAGAAAAGGGGCCGCCGGTGGGAGAGCCGAGCAATGTTGCTCCTTTTTAATGTGCCATGGTTACCTTGACCTGGGCTTGCAGGTAGCATCTCCAAAAGCAGAAGCCATCGCGCCCGTCTTTGGGGGCGTGCGCCGGCTGCCGTCCAGCCATCCAGGCAAAGCCCGGGCCGGGTGGGAAAAGCCTCTTTTCTGTCCATCATCTTGTTCCCCCCCCCCTTGCCATGTCCACCACACCGCTTCAACTGATGATGATGATCGATATGGGGGGGAAACCCGCACGTGTGCCCTTTGCCAGAGTTTAGTACTACGTATACATGGATGGCAAGATAATTAATTAAGTGGCGGCGCGCACTCCATGCCCTGCGTTCGATTCTGGCGCCGTCAACAACCATGCGGCCATCGCAACAAAGACCAACTTTTTGCAGCAATTTGCAGCAAGTTTAGTTTACAGGCATCATGGCTGGTCCTCTGGCGTTTTGAATGGTCATTGAACCTTCCCAATCTGGCAGATCAACTCTTGGCCTTCTGTTCTGGGCCAGTACACATTTTCATGCGCCGTTGGTGAGGTGGGATAAAATGGCTTATTATTCGTACACAGTGATGTGCTGCTGCTGTTACAGCCTGGCCTGCTCCGGTCCTTGTCATGCGAGGTTTGATTACATAGCAATAAGCGCAAGGCAGCGAGCGAGCGCATCAACTTGGTAATCAGAAATTGAAACAAAAAAAAAAATACGTACGAAAAAAAAAACCCCCCATTATCAAAAGTTGATTAAGGGGATATCACTTGCAAATCAATGGCAAGAAATTCAATGTCCAAGTTGTCGTCAAGGCACAGCTTCATGAGGCCTTTTTATCTTTCTTTCCAACTATTTACCCCGCATGGCTACCATGATCAAATTTGTCTCGCCTTTTTTTTTTCTTTTTTTTTCTTTTATATATATATATATATATATGTATTTATATATTATGGATACGTCATGCTGGGCACCTTTGTCTCGTCGGTTCCTGGGATCACTAGCGCCTTTGCTAGCCCAAAAGTTGCCTCATGGCTAATGCGTGGCGCTTTAATTTTGGGGGGGGAGGGGGGGGGAGGGGGGGGGAGGGGGGGGGAAGGAGGGTTTTTTCGCACCTTTTTACCGGGCATCCTGTCATGTTTTAGTTAGTTTCAAGCTGAGCTGATCTAGGCTACAGCCGCCCCTTTAGATAACCATCTTGCAGGGAACAGGGAAGTTGGGGAGTCGGAGGATGTTGAGTCGTGGGATGATCACTGATCAAGTGATAGCATATTGACCTATAGGTTAACGCATATGTACGGCGACGTCGTGAGTAATAATAACAATAGTTTGCTCAAGGACCACGGATGAATGAATCGAGTATTCCGAGGTTTTACATGTAATGTAGTCCTTGAATAAACCAAATGTTGTGATAAATTGTGCTTTTTATTTCTTCCCTTATGTCTATCCGTAAGCCCCCTTTTCTTTCAATGCATTGCGGCTGCGCAGACGTCTGCGTGCCTGCGCAGCTAGCAAATGACAACACCCTTTTCCTAGCCCAACCCGAAAAGAACTCTCACCTCTCTACCTACCACCAGTTCCCTGTCATGCCTGTCTACTTTTCAAGCGGCGCCCAAACAGTGTCTCAGACTGGCTGCTGTGGCAAGGCCAGTGAGGGCGCGGAGAGTTCATTGAGATGTGAGACATGAATTGACCACCCAGACTTGGTTGGGCGGGCTGCTGCAACATGAAGCTGCAGAGCACAAACAATAAGTACACGCAAACTTCCTGTTGCGTCCTTGTTTCGTCTTCTCTGCTTTGACACAATGATTATTCTCCTTGACCTGGCACATGCGATGCGATGCAACACGACTGCAGATGTCCTGTACCTGTCGACACGTTTCTGCTCCCAATCAAAAGCTACCCTGCTTTCGACAAGTTCGAGCTCGTCATGCCAGTTTCTTTGTTATTTGGTGGTGGCTAGGACCAGTTCTGGCGCTGTACCTGGCTGCGACCTGACAAGGTTTGGCGACGCCATAAACAGAGCACATGACGTGGCCGTGCTGCGTATTTAAACGCCCTGCAAAATTGAGAAGTCCAAAGATTTTGTCCTTGCACATCTGCGGGTAAATCTCAGTGATATCTACATGCCTCGATATATACAAACTGTTGAAAGACTGAAAATGTATAACCGCTGACCAGTGGAAGTTCGGCTATATGGACGGCAAGGTGGACGGGCCTCGGCTCCGCGCGGGGGCGGGTGATGTGGCGCTAGATGGCGCGCTAACCCCCGGAAAACGACCTGAAAGCATCTGACTTTTCGGCTATAAGACCTGCAAAATCCTAGAAAACGCTTTCCCCCATCCTCCATCTCCCTTGCATCGTTTGAAGAAGCAGCTTGTTTTGTTGCATTTCACCAAAAAACAAAAGCATCGCCCATCATGAACGCCGAGTACCAGAAAGTCCTCACCTCCGCCCCGGCCGTGCTGCCATTCTCTGAGCCCCCGTACCTCAGCGGCCTTCCGTCGCCGTACCACAACGACTCGCATCGCCGCTTCCAAAAGGTCGCCCGCGCCTGGATCAGCGAGAACATCACCAAGCACGCGCTCGAGTGGGAGCGCGAAGAGAGCGTCCCCGAGGACCTCTACCAGAGATGGGTCAAGGCCGGCTACCTGCCCGCCACTTTGCCCGCGCCCCTGCCGGTCGATTGGCTGAAGCGCCTCGGCATCAACGAGATGCCTGGCGGCGTCAAGGTTGAGGACTGGAACTACACTCACTCTGCCATTTTTGCTGACGAGGTAAAGTTTGGCGCTCAGCCCTGAGAATCCGGTTTTTTCGTGGGCTAATGATATGGGGGTTTCCCAAAAAAAAACAGATGATGGGCGCCGGTCTTGCTGGTCCCCCTGGCTCCTTGACTGTTGGTGTTGCTTACGGCCTTCCTCCCATTTTCAAGTTTGGTAGCAAAGAGCTGCAGGAACGCATCGTTCCCGAGATTGTCTCGGGCAAGAAGCGCATCTGCATTGCCATTACTGAGCCTGACGCTGGTTCCGACGTGGCAAACATCACCACCACCGCCAAAAAGACCCCCGATGGCAAGCACTATATTGTCAATGGCCAGAAGAAGTGGTAAGTGCCGAGATGTGGCGAATTTATCGGCGTTGAGTCGACGCAGTTGATAACCTTTTTGTCGTCACAGGATTACCAACGGTATCTGGTCCGACTACGCCACCATGGCTGTCCGCACCGGCGACGAGGGCGCCGGTGGCCTCTCGCTGCTGCTCGTACCGCTCAAGGGCCATCCGGGAGTCGAGATGCGCCGCCTCAAGGTCGGCGGCCAGATCAGCGCCGGCACCACCTTTATCGACATGGACGAGGTCAAGGTGCCCGTCGAGAACCTCATCGGCCAGGAGGGCCTGGGCATGACCTACATCATGACCAACTTCAACCACGAGCGCATGAGCATCTGCATGGGCGTCGTGCGCCAGTGCCGCGTCGCTCTCAGCACCGCGTTCGAGTACGTCATGAAGCGCGAGGCCTTTGGCAAGACGCTCATTGACAACGCCGTCGTCCGCCACCGCCTCGCCGGCGCCGGCTCCCAGCTCGAGGCCTACGCCGCCTGGGTCGACCAGCTCGTCTACCAGATGGGCAACATGAGCAAGGCCGAGTCGGACCTGAGGCTCGGCGGCGCCGTCGCCATGGCCAAAGCCCTCGGCGGCCGCGTCTTTGACGAGGTGGCCAGCTGCTCCATCCTGCTCTTTGGCGGCAACGGCTACACGCGCAGCGGCCAGGGCGAGGTGGTTGAGAAGATTTACAGAGAGGTTCCCGGCATGCGCATTCCCGGTGGCAGCGAGGATGTGTTGCTGGACCTTGGCATTCGTCAACTATTGAAGATTTACCAGCTTCAAACTCAACTGCTGGGCACAAAGTCCAACCTGTAAATATTGTAATTTATGATAATTATGTTTAAAATAGTTTTGAAAGCCCAACAATTAGAGTGAATACGGATCTCTTATTGGCAAAGTATCATGTTCGACAAGGTTTTTGAAAGAAATAGTCTCAAGGGTCAGTAAATACGAATCTCTCAGTGGCAAAGCATCGTGTTTGAGCGGTATAGCATCAATTGGGACTTTTTGTATTCAAGCAGCGCTTCTTATGTTCAAGTTTGTCTGTTACAATTGGCATGCGTGACTGACGCGTCTAGTAATCGTAAAAGCCCTTGCCGCTCTTCTTGCCGAGCCACCCGGCGTCCACCATCTTTCCGAGAAGGACACTCGGGCGATACTTGGAGTCGCCAGTCTCGTTGTAGAGGACCTTCATGATGGAAAGGCACGTGTCCAGGCCGATAAAGTCGGCGAGCTGCAGAGGGCCCATGGGGACGTTGGTGCCGTTCTTCATGATGGCATCGATGGAGTCGCGGTCGCCGACGTGGGTCTCGAGGCAGATGACGGCCTCGTTGATATAAGGCATCAGAATGCGGTTGGCAAGGAAGCCAGGGGTGTCGGCGGAGACGGACGTAATCTTGCCCATCTTCTTGCAAAACTCGACAGCCGTGTCCAGAGTCTCCTGGCTGGTCTGGAGGCCGCTGATGATTTCAACACCCTTCTGGATAGGAACAGGGTTCATAAAGTGGGTGGAGACGACCCGGGACGAGGCCGAGGTGTCGGTGGGATCGGTCGTCGTGGCGGCGGCAATCTTGGTGATGGAGATGGAAGAGGTGTTTGTGGCAAGAATGGCGTGCGAGGGACAAATCCGGGCGAGGTTGGAGAAGATGTCAAACTTGAGCTGGGGAATCTCGGGAACGGCCTCGATGACAAAGTCGACCGAGGAGAGGTCCTCGACCTTGGTAGAGCCGCTCAGGCGGCCGCGAATCTCGGTGGCCTGGTCCTGCGTGATTCTCTCCTTGGCGACGTCCTTTGCGAGAAGCTTGTCTAACAAACACAATTTTTTGTAAGTCAATGGTGCTCGCTCGGGGCTTAAGAGGCCGACGAAGCGGTCGCATACCGGCGAAAGCAAGGCCCTTGGACAGAGCCTTGTCGGACGCGTCAACAAGTGTGACGGGGACATTGGCTCTTTGAGCAGCAACGAGCGCAATGCCGAGACCCTGAGAAGTTCAATTAGCTACAATTGACTCTGAAATTTCGTCCCTTTTCGTCACATGCTAGAACGGGCCGTACCATTTGGCCGGCGCCAATGACACCGAGCTGCTTAACCTCTGCGGCGTACTGGCGGCGGGTGGTGCTGAAGCAGCGGGCCTGGCGAGAGGCTTGCAGCGCGCGCATGCGCAAAATTGAGCTGACCATTTTATTTGGGAAGCGAATTCGGTGGTTTTGTGATGATGTTGGGATGCGAATGGCCAAGCCGGCGTTTACCCCGAACGGGTTTAAAGAACCACGGCGGCGGCGGGCGCTGCGGGTAATCTCGGCTTTCACCAGTACGTTTTTCTGGGGTTGTGGCTGCTGTGGCTGGGGCACCAGTGCTGGACGCGGCAAGTGGCTTGGTGGGCTGCGACGCGTCTCTCAAGCCTCAGACGCGTAAATTGTTCTAAAGTGCGAAGCCCATTCTTAAGCCGCCGACACAAAGGTCCTCGGTTGATAGATACAATTCGCTGCCCGCGGCAAATATCCTTCGCCATGGAACTGCCAGACGGAGGACATGACATTGTTCATCCCGAAGTCAGAGCACACATCACCAGTCTAATTTCTGCTGTCAGTTTGCGCCGCTGTCTGCTTCCCTTCCCAGGTACTAATGCAATGTCCTCCAGCTCGGTGGAATAAGCGCCGACGATGATGGCCAGTATCAGCTCGGTGACGATGCCCTCGAGGTTTTGCGCGATATTAAACGATGGATTCGATTTTACGACGAAAAGACGAACCGCATGGACGTTGCGCGATGTGTCTACGAGGGCAACCTTGTACGGGGCGACCTGATCCCCATCCTCGCTAAATGGCCCGAAGATTCAATGGACAGCAAATTCAAGAGTAGACTCGTGCTAGCCTGCATTGAAATCTTGGTTCCATTGACTTGGCCCATCGACAAGGACAAGGACAAGATGACCGTCAACCACCACCGACACGTCCCGGTCCTTGAGCTCGCCCAGCTACAGTATAAAAGTGCCATCATCAACTTTGACGGCGCCAGACTCTTACATTCAGCTGTCCGATGCGCAATTCCTTCCATGGCTATTCCCATTGGCGACCGAACTTCGAGGGACCAGGGCATCATCAAGCTGATTCTTTTCTTCATACGAAACATAGCCATGATAGCACCGTCGCCTGGTGTCAAGTTTGACGGCGATGAGACTCAAATCTCCCGATCCACCACGATAGACGCCTTCTCCTACCAAGATGTCTTTGTCCTTCTCCTTACTATTGCCTCCAATATGGGTGAAGATTTCAGAACAGAGGATACAACAGTCATGGAAATTATATATCATCTTGTGAAGCAGGTCGACGTCGCCACGCTGTTCATGGACGAAAGCCAGCTAAACAAGGCAAAGGCTGGAGAGCTGTCTGATCTCATGAAGAAGGAATCTGCCATGCTCCAGGGATACAACAGAAAGGGGCCTACAAGACACAACCGCTTTGGAACAATGGTCTGGGTCAAGCGCGACGACGGCAAAATGTCTTCTCTATCCGGACAGGATGTTCTGGCTGACGCAGCGACAAGAAACAAAAAGATGGACGATAGCAAGTCGTTTCGCCCTACTCGACGTGGTAAGAAGGAGAACCAAGCCGAAAAGGATCTAGGTCTCCCGACACCTCTCACCCCAAGTGCAGCCAAGCAGCTTCGTTCTTTTGTGGAGGAGTTTCTCGATTCCGGCTTCAACCCTTTGTTTCTACATGTCCGCAAATCTATCGATCGAGAAGCGCCACACATTATGAGCTTTCACAGACGTCAGTTCTTTTACCTCATATCGTGGTTCCTCAAAGCCGAACAAGGCCGCCGCAAACGTAACAAGGCTGCGAATAAAAACACAGCGGAAGAAATCAGCAGTTTCAGCCTGATAGCGAGCGTACTGAATCAAGAAATGTTCATCACGCTCAGCAAGGGACTACACGAGTCGTACGATGACAAGGACTGGCCTTCGCTATCAGCAGCTATGCGCTGCTTCACACAAATTCTGCTCACTATCCAAGAAATGACGGAACAGGGAACAGAAGACGACCAGGAGATTGCAGAAAATGTTTTGAGTCGCCTTTTCTACGAAGAATCCACGCACGACGTGATAGCCAACATTGCCAGAACCTACAAGGACCAGGGCTTCGAGTACCTTGACGCAGCCACCGAGCTAGTACATCACTTCTTGCGTGTTCTTGAAGCCTATTCCAAGCAGAATGCCGACATGCAAATTCGATCCAGAAAACGGGCGCGCAGAAAGAAGAAGGCGAATGCACAGCAAAATGGTGTCGACGAGGAAGAAAACGATGACTCCGGACAAGACGAGGCACATGTTGAGCGAGCATCAAAGGACCGGAAATTCGACTTTCAACGTTTCGCATCACGCTTCACCCCTCAAGGCGTAGTGGATACATTTATCTCGTTTACCAGATACTATCGTGAGCTCGATGACGCGCAACTAAAGCGAGCGCATCGATATATCTACAGACTGGCTTTCAAACAAGAGATGAGCGTCATGCTCTTTCGAGTGGACACGCTCCACATGCTGTTGAATATGATCCAGGGGCCAGATGCGCTGCACAAATCTTCACGAATGTTCAAAGAATGGGAAGAGTTGATCAAGCAAGTGTTCCGTAAATGCTACAAGAAGATTCAAGATCGGCCGGAGCTCATTGTTGAGATGCTGTTCAGCAAACTTCCAGCAACTGCTTTCTTTCTCGAGTACGGTTACGAAAAGCAAACTTCCGCCGCTAGGGCAAAACCTCGACCAGCTGCCGAGCTTGTTTTCAAGCACACTACCGAGCACGATCAACAGGTCGGCATTGCCGTTGGCGCCCTGCTCGACAAGAACGAATCAGATCATGTCCAGTGGCTCAAAAAGATACTCAGCACTGCAGAAATCGAGCGACGCTCTTGGAGTAACGCGAACGACGAGCTGCTCGCAAACGATGATCCCTTTGATGACGCCGAGATGGCCGAGGTGCCACCAGAGCCGAAACTCCCACCCGTCTTCACTGTTCGACCCGACAGCGCTGAGAGGCGAAAGGCAATGTTCAAAAACCCCTACCTGCGCCTGTTGCTGAACCTCGCTGGTGCGCGGCTCCTCGGTCCAGTATCGGAAGAAACCCCCGAATCAGTTTGGATTATCCCAGCTGAAGTCACGGCCAATCAGCTCAAGGATGCGCTTCACTACATCAACCAAGGAGAGTTCAATCCACCCACTTTTGAAGATGGGACGTCTGCAGAGCAGCAACTGAAGCGCAAAACAGTACCGCGCAAGAAGGCAGCTTTTGATGACGATGATGCTGGTGACGACGACGACAGCCTCGATGACTTCTTGGACAATGGAGTCATGTTCCCTGCAGGTGGCCCCACGGCGCGTAAAGCGATTGACGAACCCAAAAAGCCCAAGAAATCTCGGAAGAAGCGAAGTGCGTCAAAGGAGATTGATGACCAAGAGCGTGAAGAGCGTTCTCGAAAGCGACGTGACAAGGAAAGGGAAAAGGCTCGCAAAATCAAGTCTGCCCTCTACGTCAGAGATGGCGACGACGACTTTGATGCTGACGAGGATGAGGAATTCTTTGCGCGTGAGCGTGCAATCAAAGCTCGAGCAGAGCAAGCGGCCAAATCTGCCGTGCGCGGCTTCGCCGACGAGGACAGCACTCCGCTCCAGCGCACCGCCGCAAAACGCAAATCAACGGCTCTTCTGGACGATGGCACCGATGATGAAGATGAAGAGGATAATCTCCAGTTCGCTCAGCGCATGCCCGGCAGCCAGTCTGCCGCAGACGCCAGCGAAACTGATGAGAACACCGTGGACGGCAGCGACGCGGAAAGACCAAAAAGGCGGAGGCTGAGTCCAGACACGGACGAAGATGTAGATGAAGATGAAGATGCAATTACTTCAAAGTCGGATGCAGCACCGGTTGGAGGCACTGATGCAGAGGGAGATGATGCTGTAGTACCGACTTCCACGGCCCGCAGATCGCGAGTCCGGGGCGGCTTTGTTATCGACAGTGACGATGATGAGTAAGGATAGGCTACTGAATGTCGAAATCTACACAATGAGGCATAATACTGGGTTAGGCGTTTGGGGATAGACATACCATATTGAGCGCGACATTTTCTTGGGGATGCTGCTTACGGGAATACGATTCCAAACTTCAATATACTTTGACTGTATAAGATATCCTAAAGAGGTACATGAAATGGAATGAAATTATTTCAGAATCCTGCGCTATAAATCACTAATTTTGTACGAATGCGAAGGATCGCAAAAGGTGTGTACTGGACGCTAACCCTGAAAGTGCCAATGCATCGTTTTTACACCTTGTTTACCTCTGCGCCATGCTTGATCCCCGCCCCGCGCTGCGTCTGGTCGCCGTGCTCTGGCCGCTGGGCATGCGGCCCAGCTCCGCCATGTCCTCCTGGCTCTTGCGCGGGCCGCCAGGCGTCACGAGGACGCTGTCGCGGGCCGAGCTGCCTCTGCGGCGACGAAACGCGCTGCTGGGCGCGGGCGAGCCTTCGCGGACGCCATCACCACCCTCATAACGCTGCTGCCGTCGCTCGGCGCCATCGTCTCCTTCTTGCGGCGGCGCGTCCTCGGCGGAGGCGCCGCCACCGCCGCCCCAGGAGCCGCCGATGCCCTCCATGGTAAAGTCGGACGCCGTGGGGCCGTCAAGCAGAGCAAGCTCCTCTTGTGTGAACCAGCGCGGCAGAAGCATGGCGCGGATGGGGATGAGGGCGAGGATGAAGACGGGGAAGCCGACGGCGGCGACGGTCTGGGTAATGGCAAAGGTGGCGGCGAAGCCGAGGAGCTCGACGGCGACGAAGCACCATATGGCGGCGCGGCGGCGGACGGCGCGAAGCGGGGCGGCGGTGGGCGTGAGGTGGCGGTCGCGGGCAAGAAAGAGGACCTTTGCGGTGATGCCGTTGGCCTCGAGGGCCTGGAAGCCCATGATGAAGAAGAGGCCGGCAAGGACGCCGTGGGGGATGAGGTGCAGGACGACGAGCAGCGGGCCCGTCATGGTGCCGAGGGTGAGGAGGCCCTGCGCGAGGTTGGACACGCGCTGCTCGACGACATGCGTTGCCTCAAAGTAGAAGTCGCCTTTGTGGTCGCCCTTTTCGTCGAGCTGCTTGACGGGCCGCGTCACGCAGAGGGATTCGGTGTGAAAGGGCGCCTGCGGGATCAGCCCGTTGGGAAAGGGAAGGCCGAGGAGGCCGGCGATGCCGGTGGTGAGACCGAGCAGAAAAAGGTCCCAGTGGAATCCGGCGGGCTTGCGGAGGGGGAACTCGCTGCCCTGAGCGATGAGCGAGGAGACTGAGAAGGGGGGTGGATTTCTGTGTTAGTCTGTGATGTAAAAGGTACGCGGGGGCGTTGGTTTCCTTACCGTTGTGGTCAAACCAAAAGAGAATGGTGAGCAGAACCGCAAACGGCAACGCGATAAAGACGTCGCCGACGCCGAGCTCCCAGAACCTGACAACCCAACCGCGCTGAATCGTCGGCTCAAAGGCGATGCCCGTGGGCAGCCGCTGCAGGTCGACCTCTTGCATGCGGCCAAAGTGCACGAAGCCGGTGAAGAAGACGAGGGTAAGCGGGGTGCCGTAGTCCTTGAGGAAGACGCGGACCTCGTGGCGAAAGAGGCCGCTGGCGCCGAGCGCGCTGCAGACGTAGGCGACGATGAAGACGAGGAGGGCGACGACGACGGAGAGGTAAAAGTCGGGTCCGTGGCCCAGGCGCTCGAGCACCTGCACGCCCTTTTGGAGGTAGATGCAGGCGACGTAGAAGCCGAAAATATCGCAGGGGAAGCGCGTCACCCAGCGCAGCCAGTTGCACGAGTTGGTCACGGCGAGGATCCAGTGCAGGATGAGGGACCATCTGCGGGATAGGGCGTGATGGGTCAGTCAAGGGGAGCTCCGTCTTGGAGGGGGAGGCGGCGAAGAGACTTACATGCCGATCCAGCCCATGAAGCCGAGGTAGTCGACGCCAGTGGGATGCATAATGTCGTAGACGGTGCTGTGGTTTGTTTTAGCAGACGTAGCTTTATGAGACGGGGGAACGGGATTACAATGAATATTTATAACGTACTAGTTGAAGACGGTGATCGGTCCAGTTACGCCAACAATGACGAGCGGTTGCGCAGCCACCAGAGAAAAGACGACTGCGCCCAAGACAGACGATAGCAGCACCTCATTTACGCCATAGTTGGACGCCGTGTTTTGAAACATGTCGAGCGAAAAGGCCAAAGCCGGCAAGATGCTACACGACAACAAACCAAAAGCATCAGCACAGAATCTCACCGAGATGGTGACGGGAAGCATCTTTTTCTTTACTTTGCAAAGTACATGTACACCGTGGCCGGGACGACGCGATAGTCCCAGGCGTCAGTCCAGTCGCTCAGATAGTACGGCGCGCGCTGCCGAATATCGTTGACCATGCCGCGAAAGAGACGAATGTGCCACCATGGCTTTGCCTCGGTTGTTGCCGGTGCTGGCGCTTGCGGCGTCTGCTGCTGTTCCGTTACCGGAAGGATGTTGGCCTCGTCGGGGCCACGAGTAGTGCTATTGGTGGTGGTGGTAGTATCCATGACGTTGGTGCCCAAGCTGTCGTGATGGGCAGGCGGCGGCCGACAGCTTCAGTGGGTTTCGAAATGTTTCTTCTTCCGTTCAAAAAACAAAAGAATTCAACTGGATTGTGAATGAGCAACTCAATTGATTGCATCTGCTTTCATTGACGGTCTCGAAAGCTGGCATCAAGCCGCATGATAAACCTCTTCCTCTCAATATACAAAAGCTTAGCTTCTTGACAAAACGGTCGTGCGTTGCCCTCCGGTGTGTGACTCCGGAGCCAAAAGGGAAAAATCAAAAAAGGCGGAATGGTCGGGCTGTGGAGTCACGGAGCCCCTTTGTCAACCAATTCGCAATCCAGAGGAGATGCAATGACAATGATCCTCTGGTCTGCGGCGAGGCAATTGGGGGCGCAATCAAGAATGTGCAGAGGCAAAGAGACAGCCCTGTAAGTAAGATTCGGTTTGCGGTCTTGGCATGGATTGCATGAGTCGCTGAAGTGCTGGTACTGGTGCGGCGTCTGAGTCAGGTCAGGCTGAGGCCAAGCGCTGGGTGCGCGTCGCATTCACAAACGTCACCACTGTTGATGAGCGCAAGACTACAAATAACCAACAATTGAACTTGAAAAAGATACAAAGTGATGAATTTTTTTTTTAATGTACAGTACCCGGTGTTCGCTGGCCGTCACCGGACCCCAACTACTAATCTGGCGCTTAAGTGGTTGTTCCATCGGAGATTGGACGGGACGCCTTCTCCTCCTCCCCCCTTCACTCCGGCTTCTCCAACCACTCCCGCAACTTCCTGAGCGCGTACATGTCGTGCTTGGCCTGCGACGTGAAAAAAACCTTCTCACACCACCCCGGCGACCCCAACGACTGCAACCTCCCCCCAAACGGCTGACACGACCCAAAGTCAATCAACACCGGCATCCCCCCCTTGACCATGATGTTTCCCGGATTTATATCATTATGCGCTAATCCCAACGAATGTAGATGCGCCACCGCCGATTCCAGCGCCTCGGCAAATTTCTCCCCATCAAGCTTTGCAAAGCTAGGTTCGTGGACGTGCTGCTGGAGCGTCTTGTCCAGACGCTCCAGGGCCAAGGCCGTGATGCGGCCACGACGCACGCGACAGCCCAGGTACCCGATGATGTAGGGGTGAGGCGTCTTGGAGATTTGCTCCATGATGAGAGTCTCTTCTAAGACGCCTTTGGGAATAAAATCAGAGCCCTTCATTTCCTCGTAGCAGTTGAGACCGGGGCGCTTGATAAAGGCAGAGACGTCGTCCAAGTCGTCGGGCGCAATCGTCAGCGGCGTATTCTGGGGAACCGCGGGGTAAATCTCGCTGTCGGGGACATGCTTCAGCGCGGCATTGTACTCTGCCACAGTAATTTCCTTTTTCTTCTTGAAAAGCTGGCCAAAGTACAGCTCGTCTTCCCGAGTAACTTGGTAGAATGTGACGTATTTCGCCTCGGTGGCGCCCTGGTCGAATGCCTCGATAATGGTTAGGTCCTGCAATGATAGCACCGGTGGTTTCTTGTCAGAACTCTCGACCGTGTTAGATGCAACCATGACAACAGCTCCAATTCAAAAAGAGGGCAAGGGGGTGTGTACGTGCTTTTAGGATGCTAGATTGGTTGTTGGGTGGTGAGTGAGCAGCAATCCTTTATTCATTGAGCTCCATAGCCCACTTCTTGTATTACGCTGACAAGGCTTCTTGTGAAACCCGATTTTGTATCGCAAAGTCTGCAATGTATGTGAGAGCAGTATTAATCCCCTCACTTTATTAGGCTGCGTGGCGCACACGTCGGGCGGCAAAGCGTGGGTGCTTCTTGGATTTTCGGAACTGCAAACATCTTCTGCGTCTATTGGTGCCGATGCGTTGGCAGATTGTTGCCCACTATGACACTTTATCACCAACACGACACAAAAGACAAGACACCTGTCAGAAGTCAACTGACATGAGTATCAACAGCCATTAGACCAGGGCAATACAGTGCCAATATATTAAAAATCAAAGCCAGCATGTGAATACAAAAAGCCCTCGCTCGTGGCGGGCATCAATAGACGTGTGCGCCAAAGAATCTACAAAAGAAACAATACATGATGGCTCAAATATAGCCCATGCCATGGTCGCCTGAGTGAGGGAACCTCAGCTCTTGATGTTTTCCCTCGGCGCAAGTCTTCCCCAACCAAACACAGAAAATACAATGGGCGAGAAACAAGCCCGTAGCCCGCTCGCCATATCTATGACGAAAACGCCCTAGTCTATATCGAAGCTCCGTTGGAGGGCTGTGTCGGAGTCTCTGTAGCCAGGCGCAATTGCAATGTATAAATGCCTTGAATGAGTATAGTCAATCCGGCATGCAGCGCTTGGCCTATCGTGCCATGCCGTTAGTAGCTTTCAGCGGTAGCAGGGGCCGAGGCTATTTGCGTTCCCGACACGATCCATATTACAACGACGACTGTTGAAAACAGTAGCGTGCGCACAAATGTTCGGACTTGAACGGGACTGTGCAGACAAGTTTCGTCCTCGAATCTTGGTATCAACGAGGACTGAAAGGCGTTGATGTAGTCAATATCGCACTCCCGAACCTTGGGGGCGGCGAATGCCCTATACTCGTCCAGCGCAGGGTCAACTTCCCATCCTGCGATTCTGCGGGCGGCGGCAACAACACAGCCGGTGCGATGCTTGCCATGGTTGCAGTGGATGAGGAGAGGATAGTTTCGCTTGTCAAGAGTGAGCTGGAGAATGGCGGCCATCGTATCAAGCGGTATGGCCTCCTTCTTGGTGCCTTTCATGTCAAAAGTGACCTGGCGGATGCCATTGGTGTGGACAAAGGCAGCGAGGTCAGTTTGGAGCTCTTCCTTCCTGACTAGAGTGACAATAGTCTTGATCTTGAGGCTCTGGAGAAAGTCAAAGTCGTGCTGCTTTGGATAGCTGCTACGGTAGAGACCAGGGACGACGACGCCAAAGTTGAGCGGCCGCCCGGCTAGGGGCACGACGGGAAAGTCGACTGCCTGATGAATGGTGGGAAGCAGCGGCGATACTTTGGCTGCCGGTACAGTGTCAGGAGTGAGCGAGATGGGTAGCGGTATCGCTGACTGCATACCTGACTTTTCGAGAGTAGCGGAATCTCTGACACCGGTGATGCTACTCTGACAGCGCAGAGCAGCGACTGCGTCGTTGGCGGGCGCGTTGCGTAGTCCTTCTTCTATTTCAGTGGCGTACTGAAACATGTCTTCCCTGAAAGAACTTCGCGAGCTTCGTCTGGACTGAAATGACGATCCGGAAGAGGATGAAGAGCTAGCAGAGGATGTGTAGCTGGAGTCGTCGAAGAAGACGGCCTCTTCAGCGTAGACACGAGAGTTGCGTTTGGCCGTGCTGATTTTTGAGGAGGCGGAGGACACGTAGTTTGAATCTTGAAAGAAGATGGCCTCTTCAGCATAGACACGAGAGTTGCGTTTGGCCATGCTGATCATTAGATGAGCGATGATCTTTGAAGCAGCGATGATTCTTGAAGAAGCAACGAAGCTTGTGAAGAAGCGATGGTCTTGGAAGAAGGGATAGAGAGCGATTCGGAAACGTCGGCCGCGGAGAGACAAACGGAGTGGCACAAATTCGATCGAAGTGACTTGACGAGAAGAATTCTCAATCGATCGCCTCGTGACGTTTAGAAAGCTTGATGATGTGGCCAAGCGAGTGCAAAAGGAGCGCTTATGGATGCTGTAATGATCCAAGTCAAGGGCCCGCGCGGAGCAGCAGCGTAAAGCTACAGACAATTGGAACACATGTTGGAGACGAGGTTGACGAGTGAAGGCATCTTGTCGAGTTTTGGGCGGGAAGAAGGTGGTATTAAATCGAGATGAACGTGCCCTCGGTGAGAGAGAATGGTTGAGACACGATGTAGAAGCGAGAAGAGGTGGAAGAGGCAAGGATTGGGTTTTAGATGGGGGCTTGGGGAAGACGGGGCGCGCGCGAGAGCAGGCCAGGCGGTGCCCCGGGCGCGAAAAGCGAGGCGAGTCTGAGTCTGGTACTTGAAGAGCGGGTTGGTTTTGGTGGCTGTTTGGTTGAACAAGTGGACAAGGGCGAGGTACCGAGATCACACTGGCAGCCTTTCACGCTTGTTGCAGGACGAGAAATGAAAGTTGGTTTCAGCGTTGCAAGGTGCTGTAAAATAGGGTTTACAGCGCGAAAGGTGCTGTACAATACCCAGCCTGTACGCCCTGAAAGTCTCCCGCACCACCTAAAAGTCGATCAAAAACAGGAAGGTGGGAGGACCCTGGATCTGCGCTGCGCTGCAACAAAGCCAAGTACGGATACCTTTCGGCCCATCAGCCTTTGGTGACGACAGAGGTACCGTTGCACTGACGCGTTAGGATTTATTAGCAAGGCAACAACAAAGTGCTAAAAGCACTGTCCGGCAGCAAGGGTGCAGATCTTTCAAAGTAATGACTGTTTAACAACTCAGTACCAGGAAATTTCACAGCCAAGAGAGACATTTGCTGAACTTGGCCACTTACTTCCTCGTCGTATTATTTGCATTTGTCGACACTTGCGTTGCCTTGTGACCTAGCACAGTGCCTGTTGTCACACGAGGCATCTCCCGTCCAAGTTTCTGCAACTCTCGGCCCTCCCCATCACCACATCCCCGAACCCTGCTAGAGCCCTCCACATCATCTACTTGCTTGCGGGTCTACTTCCTTTATCCGGACTGGCGTCATTGGCACAAGCAAGCCAAGCGAGCATCAAGTTCAACGAGCCACTATTTATTTACAGCGCTGCTCACTCGCCACGGGCCACGCAACCATGCCAGCCAACATGTCACAGCAACAAGTCAACTGCAGCAAGCCATCTTCAACAGCCAATACATTGTCACCACATCAACCCCCGCGCCCGTCGCCATCGCTAGCCAAGCAGGGCGCTTGTCATATTTGATTTCGAATTACGGGCGGCCGCACCCATTTGCCAGGTTGCCAGGTCGCCGTTTAGCGTATCAAGCCCATCAATACCTATGTGCGTAGGGCCCCTAAATAGCAGTACGGATACCAAGCGCCAAGTTGCGTGGCTCGTTTGCTCGTTCAACTTGGATCGACAATCCGCTTGCCCAAGGCGACGACACTTGCCAGCCGGCTCACTGTCTGCTAGCTTTGGTTCCACGCACGCGTTGCATTGCAGCCAAGCCTTCACCCTTCTGCTTACCGAGTATCCGTACCAGACGGAATTACCCCGATACTTTGCTTGCCTGTCACGCTGTCCACCTGTTGCAGCGTTACGCTACCTAGTTAGTGGACTGCACAATGTCTCAGCCGGACAGATTCCCGGGGTATGCCTGTCTGTCTTGCAACTTCAGCCAGCCAGCCAGGACTCAGCAGTCGCGCAGACTTTGAGCCAACTCATCCATCACTCAATGTGCACCAATCTCAGGCAAAAGTGATCCTTTGTGGCTCGTCCTGCGCTCAGTAAGGTCATTTCCGTCCACGCTGCTGATCTAGCGTCAATCTTGCCCTCTAAAATAGTGCCACTCGCGACATGCCGAAGCAACAAAAAAGGCGAAAAGGTTTGCCCGCCGCGGAAGAGAGCGCACCGTGCAGCACTTGTCCAAATCCGCTAAATCCGTTGTCCACCAGGACGCCACTTTTTATCCTGTCCTGCTACGAACAGTATTATGGTTTTTCAGGTGCATCAGGCCATCTCCGAAGACTCTGGCACACGAACTATTATCGCCATGCCCACTCGCATCCACTGCGTTGTTTTTCTCTCTGCTACCAGTAAATTGCACTCTCGCTCCATCAACTGTGGAGGACAGAGAATAGGGGAACAAGAATCAGCCTTGCAAATGCAGGCGCTCTTGTTGGCTGCCGTCGCCATTGCTACCGTCGCTATTGTGCAACACAGCATTCGCGCCAGTGTGCCTGCCAGAGACAAAACTATAACTTCGACCCATTTCCACAGGTCCAGGCCTTTGCGCCGTCTCAAACAGCCAACTCACCTGCTGGACTCACAATATCGTAATTACGGACACCTCGGACATGGAACAGCCGGATGTTCTGCCACCCAGCTTGCCAGCCTGCTCCTAGTTAACTTTAACTACCAGGCACGCCGCACTTCAGGCCGTTTTCTGACTAACCATAGACCATCTCTCCCCGCTAATCCAATCCCAAAACAGCATGTTCGATCCGTCCGTTGCTGTGCTAGAATTGTTGCGTTGCGCCAACCGGCTGCAATCACGACGACAACCTCCATTTCGTATCTAAGCAACATTTAGACATTGAGACCATTGTGCGTGTATGTGTTTATAATATAAACCATCTCACGCGACACGCTGCCGAAAGCGGGATAGACACCAGTTTGTCACGCGCAAGTTTCTGCACCAGGTTGCCAGTGTGCCAGACCATTCCGGAGTTGCAAGTCTAACCCTGACGCCAGCCAAAATGTCTTGACTCTTGACCAAGCTGGCATGTCTATCAAGATGCTGTTGTCTCTGACTACATCCTGTCACTGTAACTCGCGTGCCACTTTTCTCTTCACGCGATGACTTGCCCCTTGCGTTGACCGAAACTCCCCGGGCTGCCCGGGATGCTGCTCGATTCGTCACCGAGATATGCCCATCTTTCAATAGATCGAGGCCAATCTACTCGGCGCGACCCAGATTCCCGGATCGGTTTCTCCGTCGTATTGCGTCGTAGAAGAACATTTAGCATCGTCTCCATTACTTGCCAACTCTGATAAAGGAAGAAATCAATCTTTCTTTAGTATTATTATGCCGGGGTGGGATTGGTACCCCCCAGCACGCCGGAATCTAGACGCTCTGCGGACATCTTTAATCAATTCACGCTCACGACTGCCCACTTTGTTCTTTGCTTGTGTGTATGTGTGTGTGTGTGTGTATGCATGAGGCTATGATGAATATTGTATACCCTCCTTCTCTAAACCCCCAAGGCCAATGCTTCTGTCCAACTTTTCAAAATGTACCCAAAAAGAAGAAGAACTCCATTCATCGAAGAGGTAGCGAAATCAAAAACACCTCCCAAAAATAACCATCAACCCCCACGCCTTCACCACGTAGTAAAACGCCCAATCACTCTCACCCCTGCAGCAGCCTCCTCGCAGCACGGTGTCCTAGCATCATAGCCAAGATACCAGCGCCGTACGCGTCACTCCCCTGTACGTCCCGGCCCGCCGTCCACGTCTCCCAGCCGAGCCAGCATACGGCCGCCAGTTCCACGACGCCCAGCGCCGAGAGCCCGGCGTCGAGCAGCGTCGGTTGACGTTGTAGTCGTTGTTCTTCTTGTTGTCGTGGCTGCCCGTCACCGTCGTGGGTGCTGCTCAGTGCGACTACGCCCGCGGCGACGAGCACCAGGCCCTGCAGCGGTGTTCGGTACGGCATGGAAAAAGAAAAGCAGCAAACAAGAAGCCAGAGGGGAAGCAGCGCGCAGAGTATCATCAGCGTGAGCGACTGCTGCTTCTGACTTTGGTGCGGGGGGCGCCGCTGCTGCCGCCGCTGCTGCTGCTGCTGGTTGTTGTTGTTCTCTGAGTGGCGCCGCTTGGAAAACGGCGACAAAGACGACGATGAGGAAAAAGAAGCAGTGACGGGATGAGAAGCGCCGTCGCCGCTACCCTGCTGCTCGTTGCCAAGGCTGAAGCTCTCGCTGAGTAAGTCGGCCAGCGAGTTGGCCTCGTCGTTGGGCTTCTCGGGCGCAAAGAAGCGCGGGTTGCGAAATGTCATGCTCGCCTGCGCTTCGTCTTCGTCATTGTCACCAGCCGCCGAGTTGCGATTTCTAAATTTTGCGCTATCGTGGCTGCTGCTAAAGAAGACGTCGTCCTGCTTGACGGGCTTTTTCCGCAGCACCGGTGCGTTGGGCGGGTTGCGCAGCTGCCGCGCGGGGTTGGTCGGCGCTGGGGGCACCTTGAACCAGAAGGGACGCTGATTATTGCTGCTGCCGCTGTTGTCATTCGTCGGGGACTGGCCAAAGGGGCGGAGAGCGTCCTTGTTCTGCGCAGTGGTGGTGGTGGTGGTATCAGTGCGGAACGCGCGGTGAGGGGGCTGGCTCGGTGACCAGTCCATTTCGTCGCCCGACTCGGCGTGAGCGGTCGATGATGGCTGTAGTGGCGTGCTGTTGAAGCCGCGCTGCATCATCTTGAGCTGGCTCGGCGGGACAAAGGCGCTGCCGGGTGTGCCGGGCGTCGCTGTCAGGGAGGACACGCCGCCGCCGCCGTTGCCGCTGCCTTTCTGCGGCGTCGAGTCGAGGGCCTCGTTGAAGAGCTCGGAAAAGGTCTTGGCGTCTTGCTCTCTGCGCTTGATTGGCGTCATGCTGTGGCGCGGCGTCAACGGTTTGTCGTCGGGACGGAAGAGCGGCGTCGTGTCTACTTTGATGGACCTGCTCGCGATCAAGTAAATCTGAAGTGTCGTTAGTGCCGCTCACGACGCAATTCGCAATTTGCAAGGTGTGTACCTACAAAACACATGATGCCTGCCGTGGCCAGGTGTACGCTCAACTGCGCGCTTTGCGATTGCGCCGCGCCCCCCTGCATGCTCAGCACGCTCCGGAAGAGGATGCGAAAGAAGACGATCAACCCCTGGAACGAGTACCACCGCGTGAACCCCAGCAAATGCCTCGTAAAGCCCCTCGAGAATTGCACAAAGTGTGGGTTCCACCACACCGAGAGAACGGCCGCCGCGATGCTCGCCCGTATCAGCGCATCCCCGTCCGGTAGCCACGCCAGAGCCATCCTCGTCGCCGCGAGTCCCTTGACCATCACGCCCGAGTCGTCTGGGTCATACATGCCGTTATCCTGCCGCTCCAGCGCCCGTGCGATATGTTGCAGGTGCCAGAGCAGCTGCGCCGCGAGTCCTGCGCGCCAGAGCCAAGCGCCAACCACGCCGACCGCGTCCAGGATGCCGGCTCTCCGCGTCGTCGCTGCCGCCGCCGTGCGCCCGCGGCTCTTGTCCATCATGCGCCGCAAATGGTCCGTCTTGGCCGTGTAGCCGGCCTGACGAATGCGGTCCTGCACGGTGTCGGCGCACGCCTCGCAGACCTGCGGGTAGCGCCTCTCGAGGTTGCGGCGGTAGCGGTAGTAGTTGCGGTCGAGCTCCGCGTAGTCAGGGTGCGACGGGTCGTCGGGCAGGTACTGCGCGAGGGACGCGGTGAAGAGCCGCTGGTTCTTGAGGCACGTGGAACAAAAGACGGCGTCGGACTCGATGGACGCGGCGGGCTGAGGGCGGGCGTATTGGGAGGGCGGTGCAGCTTCCCGCTCGGTCGCGACCGGGGGGTCGGTAATATCACCATTCTGGAGGTGAGAGTTTAGTGGCATATCCTGACAGAATATTAGAAAGAAGAAGTTTGACGTACTTGATCTAGATAGTTTGTGGCATCGCAGGAGAGGCAGAGAAAGTCGGTTATCGTGCCGTCGTATTTGATGCCAGTCTGCTTGCCGCAGTAGAAGCAACTGAGATGTTTGGTTCGTCCTATGCGCCGCATCGCATTCAAGCACACGCCGCACCAAAAAAAAAAAAAAAACAGATGCAGGCCAAGTCTCTTTGAAACAAACGTACGCGCTCGAAAGAAGAACAAATCGCGAAAAGGTTGCTGTGATTCAAAGCTCATAGATGTGGTTGTCAACAGGAAGATATTCTGCCAGAGCGGTCAGGCTACAAACGTACCTGAACTAAGGTACCTCTTAGGTAGTTAACTACCTAGGTAGGTACAAGACCCTGGAGGCGCCAGCTTGATTATTAGCGCCTATACAGGCTGTACTTGGAGCGGCCTGCCGAAGAAGCACAGGCTCGGTGGATTTTAATTGAATTACATATGAATTGTGTTGAATGGCAAATAATAGATTTCTGGGGTAACCACCAATCTACCTGACACCAGACGCGCAAGCGGTCACGACAAATCGGCTCATATAACCGTCAACGGGAAGCCTTGTTCCGCGCGTCTTCGCCGTTGCGTCGGTGGGGTGGGCTCTCAACGTCCATCCATCAATCTTGAGCTCTCGAAACTACATTACCATATATTAACAAGCTCATCCCCTCTCCCTTTCCAAATCGGCGTCCGCGCCCGGCATGCCACCATGGCATCGACCACCGCACCCGCGCCCACGCCGCCGCCGCCTCTCCTCATCACCGTCCGCTTCTCCAGCGGCCTTGCCGATCTCGCCATCGACGTGCCCACGCCCGACACCACCACCGTGCTCGCCTTCAAGCACAACCTCCGCCAGCGCATCGCCTCGCGCAGCCGCTTGCGGCTCATCTACCAGGGCCGCATCCTCCTCGACGGCGCCTCCCTCGCCGCCGTTCTGAAACCGCTCCCCGCCGCGCCGCCAGCAGCAGCAGCAGCAGCAGCCTCCGATCCCAAGGGTAAAGCCGTCGACAAGCCGCGCCCGATTCGCGTCTACCTCAACTGCTCTATTGGCGACGAGCTGAGCACCGCGGAGCTCGACGCCGAAGAGGCCGAGGCCGCGAAGCCCCCACAAGGCGGTGGCGGGGACCAGACTGCAGCAGCGGCGGCCGGATCGGCGGCGTGGAAAAAGCCGCGGCCGAGGGGCTTTGATAGGCTGTTGCAGGCGGGCTTCACGCCGTCGGAGATTGCGACGCTGCGGACGCAGTTTGCGAGCATCCGTACGGAGCGCTTCGCCTCCGACGCCATGCCCTCGCCCGACACGATGCGCGGCATGGAGGACGCCTGGATCGACGGCAACGCCGGCGAGCTGCCGTCGTCGACGATCGCGGGCGGCGCGCTCGACGACGACATGGCCAACATGTCGACCGTGCTCGACGTCCTCATCCGCGCCATGATGATTGGCTTCTTCTTCCCGCTCGGAAGCATGACCTGGCTGCTGCGCCAGGACGTCTGGGGCGAAAAGTGGCGCATCTTTGTCGGCTCCGGCGTCGTCCTGAGCTTGACCGTCGGCGTCTTCATGACCATGGGGAGCGAGCATTAGAAGCCTCGGTCGGCAAATTACTTTGGCGTCCGACTTTCCATCTTTCTTGTACCACTTTTGATTTGGGCGTTGCGGCGTGGCATCTGTACTTTCTGGCTCTACGAGTCAAGCATATCAATAGGAACGACGGGCAATTGCAATAAATATCTTTCTTTCACATATGCTGCCATCACACATGCTAAATGCCAATGCTTTTAACGTCTCGTCATAGAATTTGACGAATGACAGACGCCTCTGATGGCTTGAATCTAAATTCATAATGTTTGTTGGTCAAAAGTCCGAATGCCGATAAAACTCCATTACAACTATATAACACCCTGGTTGCAAATGACGGAAATAAGTAACAGGCGCGCTGCAGCAAGTAAGACGAGTTAGAAACAAGGGGGTAATCAGCAAGTCCACTACAGGTACAGACTCTGCGCAGCCACAATATCTCTTCTAATCTTTTGCAGACTCTCGTCAAACTTTTTGGTGAGGTCATCGTTGCCCATGACTTTGGCAGCCTGGGCCATCTGGCGAAGCAGCTCTTCCAGACGGCGAAAGAGGCGAATCAAGGACCCTTCGTAGACGTTTGTCATCTTGCAAATCTCGGAAAACGGCCGGCCCTGGGCCCACGCAAACACCGTCTCCATCAGCTGCCACTTGAGGCTCGCCACGTACTCCTCCTCGTTGACGTCCAGCTTACACTCCTGACTGACTTTTGCCACGATGCGAGCCTTGGCCTGCACCTCGCGGTACGGCTTCTGCAGGTCCTCCTTCAGCGCGGTCGCCTCGACCTTTTCGTCAAAGATGAAGCAGCTCAGAATCGACGCGCACGTCTCAGGGGACAGCTCGTTGAAGAAGCGGTCAAAGAGCAGCTCGGAGAGCACCAGCTCGTGGCCTTCGGTGGACGAAATCTCGCAGGCGACGCGAGCCTTGAGCTGCACAACTTCGGCGTCGTTGATGAAGCCCAGACGGCGCAGTACACGCTTACGCGACTTGAGCTCGTCCATTTGCGCAATGCTGTGAGCCTTGGCAATCGCCTTCTTCTTGGACTTGATCTTCTCCGACAGGACCGTCTTGGCATGGTACTGATCCCAGAGCGACGGCAGCAGGGGCGACAGGTGCAGAGGATTGGCCAGCAGACGCGATTCGAGTACCTCAATCTTGCGGAGCAGTTTCTTGAACGACTCATCTACAATGTCCATGTTCTCCAGCGGGTCTAGGATAGGCAGTCCGTCGGGGAAGCGACGTTTCACTTCAGCAAGCGACTTGTTCACCGTGTCGCGGTCCTTATCGGTTTTAAGACCCTCCTTGGGCATGAAGAGGCGGATCTGGCTGATTGCCTTGATGCAAGTCAACAAGCAGGGCACAACAGCGTTGATGGTGTTCTGATCGCCATTAGCAGGAACCAGACCGGTAGGCATCTCAGCCGCTATCTGTCCAGGGATAATATCGGCGCTGGAAGCGGATATCGTGAGCAAGACATCAATGATGTACGACTCCTGGGGGATGTGTTCGGGCTCGCCAAGCTTGGGAGCGCGTCGCGGGTAGGAATTCACTATCACACCCCAGCCAAAGTCCAGGCCACCCGCCACATTATCAGTCGACTCTTTGGGGTTGTAAATCTGCACCAGACGGCCGGGCTGCAAAAAGTCGAGGCTGTAGTTGGGCAGCTGGATGACTGATCGCATATCTTTGGTGTAAGCGTTGAGCTGCTGGCGAATCTGATAGTAGTCCTTGATAGTGGCTTCATCAGGAATGGTGGCACCATCGCGCTCCTGCTGAATCGCCATGAGTTCCCTCTCGAGAGTGGGCACGCTCGCGGCGTTCTGGAACTGATGGAAACATCTCTCGAGCATGAACTCAGGCGAAATGGCTTCAATTCTCAGCAAATTGAGGATCATGTTATAGCCAAGGTAAAAGGCCGAATTTAGTCTGTCCTGTTGACCAGTCACAATTTGCTTGGCAGTGTCGGGCTCCAGCTTGTCGTCAATCATCATAATGACGATACCTCGCGCGTCAAGACCACGACGACCGGCACGACCAGCCATCTGCACGTATTCGGACGAGGTGAGCGGGCGGCGCTGGACACCATCCCACTTGGTAACCTGAGTAAAGACGACAGTCTTGGCAGGCATGTTCAAGCCGATAGAGAAAGTCTCCGTAGCAAAGAGCACCTTGATGAGGGACTCCTGGAAGAGGATCTCGATCGTCTCCTTCAAGATAGGCAACAAACCAGAGTGATGGACGCCGATACCCCGCACAAGTAGGGGCAGCAGGTTCTTGATTTGAGGCAGGTCGCGATCTTGCTCTGATAAACTCTCAATAGCACTTTGAAACACCTTGTTGACCATTGCCTTTTCAGAGTCGTCGTTGAGGCTCAGCTTCGATATACTAATGGCCATGTTTTCGCATTCTCGCTTGCTAAAGTTGAAAACGATGACGGGGTTGAAGCTCTTTCGAATCGTCATGCGAATAATCTTGCTCATGTCGGAGCCTTCATCGGCACCGCCTTTGTGTGTCTTTTTGTTCTTTCCTTTGCCCGTTGTTTTGGCGTTGATATCGTTGGAGTCGGCACCTTTCTTGTCCTCAACCTCCTTCATTACTATGTTGAAGTTGTCCTCGTTGAAGTTGCCCTTCTCGTCGACGACGATGCGCGCGCCAGAGCCGCCGGCAGGGTAAAAGTAGTTTTGCAGCGGCGTAGGCCGGAAATCGGTGTACACAACGTGGCAGGCTTGATGGTGAATCTTGGCTATCCATTCTGCAAACTGAAAGGCGTTGGGGATGGTGGCAGACAGAAAGACATATCGGACCTTGTCAGGAAGCATGATAATCGTCTCCTCCCAAACGACACCTCTCGTCTTGTCACGCATATAATGAATCTCATCAAAGACGACCCACGCGACTTCTCGCATAATCTCTGAGCCGCGATACAACATGGATCGCAAAATCTCCGTCGTCATGACCAGACAGCTGGCAGTCGGGTTGATTGTCACATCGCCAGTCATCAGACCAACATCACCAAAGAGGGCTTCGAAATCTCTGTATTTTTGGTTGCTCAGGGCCTTGATGGGACTGGTGTATATGACTCGCTGATTTCGCTTGAGGCACTGGGCGATGGCGTACTCGGCGACGACAGTTTTGCCCGCAGAGGTGTGCGCCGAAACGAGTACGCTCTCGTCGCGCTCAATAGATGCGACCGACAGGCTCTGGAAGGGATCGAGCTTGAAGGGGTACGTTCGCGCGGGCTCGGCGGGCGACTTGTGCTCAGAGAGCGGAACGTATTCATAGTCCAGATCGGGCGGCAGTGCGACCTGATGCTGGATGTTGTGCGACAGGATGAGTGACGAGTCTTGCGGGACAAATGTCGCCGCGCCTGCGACCTCTCTCGATTGCGCCGTCTCAAAGTTGTCCGCCATGACGGGTACGGCAGCATCTCCCTTTTTGCGACGCTTCTTGTCCTGCTGGCTTGGCGTGTCTGAGTCGTCGTCTTGCTCCGCATCTCCATCCTTTGAGGCAACTTCGCCCGTATCGCCCATTTCGGTGTCTTCTGTGGTGTTCTCCGTCTGGCCGTCGGCAGCAGTTTTGCCATTCATCGCCTCGTCCGCCTTTCTTTTCTTGGTTTTGTCTTTACGATTCTTGGCCGGCACTCTTTCATCTTCGCTTGCGCTTGAAGGGTCGGCGTTGCCCTCAAACACATCAAACATTTCGTCCATCTTGGGCAGCGGCGTGCAGCTTCGTCTGAAAACTTTCAAAAACGCTGTGAGTGGGTTGCAGAAGAGAATGGGAGCCGATTGGAAGATTTTTCTTGGTCTAAAGTCGGAACGCTCGAGTCCAGAAAAATCAGCGTCAAGGGGTAGAAAAAAAAAGAGCTTGATGCGGGAAGATTGCCTAGAAATCGGACAGCAAAAAAGCCACCCTTTCCCTCCAGTGCAAAGCTTGCAGTGAAACCTGAGAGATCGATCGATGCTCGTCTCTTTGCACTATGTGCGTAGCGCAGCAGAATAAAAATGATGGCTCAAAACAGGAAGGCGGTGGACTGGATCAAGACAAAATGTGGGACGAAAAAGGTACGTATCTTTTGTGGTCTTATACACACGTGACTCAATTCGGCCAATGTCTTTCGACCTCTTACGAGCTTACTCGATTTGCCGACACGGTCCTCCCCGAACGCTGAAGGTATTCGCAACTCCAAGCTCGCCAATCCATCAGTCAAGGTCCGCCACGCCTGCCCAATTCACCTTGGGAGGAGTTCTCCGAGCTAATTGACGATGTCGCAGATGTTCTCACACGCCGCCACCCGCACCACGACCACTCTGGTCTCCCGCCGTGCTTTCCATGCCACACGGGCTCGCATGTCCTCGCCTTACCACTACCCCGAGGGTCCCTACACCAACCTTCCCTTCAACCCCCACAGCAAGTGGTTCGGTATCGGCTACTGGGGCTTCATGGCCACCGGCTTCCTCGCCCCCTTCGGCATTGCCGGTACGACGACCTTGCGCGCGAGATATAAAAGAGCGACATGTTAGGAAGCTTGTAATGCTAACAGTTGTGGCAGTCTACCAAACCTACAAATCCGACCCTTAAACGACTCTTCGACATACGACAGATTGGGTAGATATCTTCATCTTGCATGGAGAACAGAAAGAGGCAGCAAGGCGATGGACAATGTTATGATAGAAGAGGCTCGGATAGATGCTTGCAGTCACATGCACCGACTGTAACATAATTCCATTTGTTGATACATTTCCTGGTCTCCTTTCAATGGTGAATTTTTCGGCACGTGGCATTGGTGGCTAAGATGTTCGCCACGCGAGTGCTTCTAAAGCTTATAATACAGACTCGCGAGTAGCGTAGAATTACATGAAATGTACAACTATATACAACATGGATCGGTGGCTAAATCTCCTTATTGGATGATTCTATCACCCATCATCTGCCTGAGCTTGGTGGTGCTCTCAAAGATGCGCCAAGCCGCAATGTCGTCGGTTTTGCCAACGATTTTGTCGCAGATGGTAAGAACCTCCAATCGGCGCTCTATCGGTACATCCCAGCGTACGGAAATCTCGTCAAAGGCCTTTTCCAATTTCTGCCGCGAGCAGCAGCGCTTAACGGCTTTCAACAACCAGATGACGGCCCATTTGTCGATGCGGAAATGCTCTCCCATCTCGTCCTGCGCCTGGTAAAATGCATGCACGACGCTGTCTAGGCGTTGCTCGCTCCATTCTGAGCCGGGATGTCCGCCGTTGAGGAAGAAGCCTCGGAAGATGCCCATGAAAATGGTCGGGTGCAGGACAACACCCTGCGCCTTCATGTCGTCCAAAAAGTACACCACCTTGCCCAGGTCGCCTACACGAACAGCGTAGTGTTCAATAAAGAGTTTGAATGTGCGTAGGTCTGGCGATATGCAAACACCTCGTTGCAAGTTGGCCTTGAGTGAAGGGTGCTCCTTGGCCACTTTGGACAGCATCATGAGAGCTTTGGTGATGACCTTGGAAACCATGTAGTCCTTTTCTGGTCTCTGGGGAACACTGGTTCCTCCGGCCCTCATCCGCTGATATGTGTCTTCAGCGGCTCCCTCCTCTCCGCAGCGGAGCAGTCCCGAGATGACGCAGTTCAAGGCAATCGTGTCCACCAGCTGGCCAGCTTCCACCATTTCCTTGTATGCAGCTCTGACGCCATCGGAATCCCTCTGCAGGCCAAAGTAGTAGATAAGTGTAACGTGGTGGAAGTGATTGAACTTTATGCCCCGATTCTCCATTTCCTTGTACAACGTGTCAGCCAACGCGAAGCTGCCGGCTTTGGCCGCGGCGTCAAAAAGAATGTTGAAGGTGACTTCATTAGCGGGCTGGTTTCCTTCTCGCTCCATTTCAGACCACAGTCGCATCGCAGATTCGAGCTGTCGTGTTTGGACCCTGGCAGTGTACTTGGCGGCAAACGCAAGCGCATAGTTCCATTGACGCTGGTTGAGTGTGAGACCAGCATTCTTCACATCAGCCACTAGCGAAAAGTAGCGGAGCATACCAGCTGATTCTCTTTTCGTTGGCAATCCCATGACTCGCAAAAGTTCTTTCCTCCAGCCTGCTGTGAGATGCAGCATGCGAGGTTCGGGCAGCTCTTGATAGGTCGCGTATATCTTTTCGAGGGGGATCAAGTCCCGATATCGCAGTCGCTTCCGCAGAGATGTGCAGAGCTTCTCGATGATCTGTTGTGTAGCAGCCGAAATCTTGGGCAAATCTTCTCGAGTGGGAAAAAAGACGTCTTGTTTCGCATCGGATATCCTTATGTGTGGCCCGTCTGGGGCCGCGAATCCGCCACGGAATGGATCCCGGTGCGCCTCGAACAGCTCGGCTGCCGTGGATTGCACTGGTCCCGGCACAAAGGAAAGAAGCTCATGTTTGTCGAGAGTCTGACCTTGATTCTCGGATCCAACTGTCGAGTGTAATGTCGAAGACCGCACCTTTCCTTGAGTTCCTGGTGTATGCGCCGGCAATAGAGTCACTCCTTGCTGAGACTTGATTGCCGAGTCGGCCAAGTCCATGCTGGCCGAATCTGTTTCCCTTTCCAAAGATGTATCTTCGCCTGGTTGTATAGGTTTCAACATGGAGTTGCGAGGATGTCGGGCAAATGCTCCTATTGTAGTTTTGTCGACTCGTTTCGGCAGCGGCTTCGAGTCTTGATTGGGCGCAAAGGTCGAAAATAGCCATATAGCGCTTCTCTGGCATTGCCCTGAAGTGCGCGATTCGATTTGCATATGCCTTCCGCCCGCAGCATCAGCATGACGTCCAGGCAGAGCTGCCACAGCTGCTCCAAGAAGCTGAGGTGCAGCAGCAGTGCCGCGGGACCGCATGGCGCTGCGGACGGGTCCCCGGACGCTGCTCGTTTTCATTGCAACAGTGTATCCATTTCCACCTCTAGCATGTGCCGAATAGAAACGCCCAGAATAAAATTCGACAAGAAAGGGACAAAATGAAGGAATGCTTATTCTGCTTGTTTGATGGAGATCCCGATATAAAAAAGTGTGGGTCTGGAAAATACGCTGTCGCGCCGCCTGGCATCTCCTTGCCAGCACGCCGGGCTTACGATACGCCGACCCCAAAATTCAATTCAACTTGCTCCATGTTGCATCTTCAACCTGTCTTTTCACGACATCTGCCTTGCGCCACCGACTCAATTGGCGGCTGATCATCAATCAGAGGGCACTGTTCACCGATAACGAGCTCGAAGTACACTTTTCTCGGCTCCTTCTCCAGCCCGACCACACACACTACGATAGCCATGCGTGGCCGACAAATCAGGCCCGCGCGGCTGGTGCAGAACGTCCAGGAGGAGCTTAAGCGCACCGTAATGGGCAGCGAGAATACTTACAAGCCGCCGTGGCTAAACATTGTCTCGTCGGTCCCGCCGTCCGAGACGCTCGTCCGGCCGATCCCCACGCAGCACACGGCGGTCAGCGGCAGCAGCAAGGCCAAGAAGCCGCGCAACATTTACCGTCCGCAAAAGATTGTCTACCTCGAGGACAAGCTGCGCGCGACGTTTTACAAGGACCACCCGTGGGAGCTGGCGCGGCCGCGCATCTTCCTCGAGTCGGACGGCAAGGACGGCCAGCGCTGCGACTGGAGCAAGGGTGTGCGCCAGCCGGGCATGGCGCTGACTGGAGAGAGGTGAGTGCTGCTGCAGCAAACCCCTTGTCTATCCAGGGTTGGAAAGTTTTGCTGATTGACAACGTTTTTTTGTAGCGTCGTCCAACGCCAATTATATCTCATCGAAGTCAAAAACATGTCGCAGAACAAGGCCTACGACACGGCACGCAAAGAATTCTACAGGCTGCGTCAGGCCGAGGAGATTGAGCGTCGGGTCGCCGTCGAGGAGGCGCGCCATGTTGGCGCCTACTTTGGCATGACGAGAGGCGATGTTGGCATGAAGCTCGAGGACCAGGAGTTTGAGAACTGGAAGGTCTGGGCCGGCAAGGAGACGGCGGCGCGCCAGGCGCAGGCGGCCTCGGAGGTGGAAACGTTTGACCCCAACGATGCTCTGCCCGACGAGGATGCTGATTTGGTCGGAATGACTGAAGCCACTCTTGAGCGAGGGGCGTAGGAGCAGGTGTGGAGGAAGCAGAAGCAAGCAAAATGTCTCTTTTCTGGGAATGAACAGGCCAACCATGACAGGCCAAACGTCCAGATTTTCTGTTATAGATACTGTACAATATGTGTATTAAAGATACAAACTCACGAGACGAATGAGTTGTCGCCGTCAGTGCTTATTTGTGCTCGATGTCGTCTCGCCTCGCGTTGAAGACAACCTGTCCCACATCGCGGACGCCGTACCTCGCCGCAACCTGAGCATGCTGCACCGCAAAGAAGTCCGCCAGCCCCGTGTAGTGCAGCAGCTTCCCCGTAAGCGACAGTGTCGATATGCGCGCCCAAGACTCGACATACACGAAGCGCATGCTCTCCGCAGGCACCGCGCCCACCACCTTGAGCGCGTAAATCACGGCCGCCACAAAGAACCCTGTCGCGGGCCCGTTGGAGAACACTAGCGACGGATACCTCCTGCTGCCCTCTGGCCGCGCCAGCAGCGCCGGGATAATGTCGAGAACGCTGCGCAAAGCGCTCAACGGCGTTGTGAGCAGGCTCTGGTGGACGCGCCGCGCGCGTGTGACGTGCACAACGTCGTACGTGCCGGGTTCTGTTTGGCGAGCGGCGCAGAGAGCGGTTAGGGAGGCTTCGTAAGCGCGTAAATGGTGCAGGGACATGGCGTCGCCGCGGGTGACGAGGTAGCGGCGGTGGGAGCGGCGGAAGTCGCAGGTGCCGTCGTCCATCATCATGAGCATCTCACGCGTGTGGCCGCCGGAGCCGAGCACAAAGAGGCAGTAGTCATCGTGACGCTGCGGCGGCGCGGAGGCGGCCGGGGGAGGGCTGGAGGGCCAGCGTACGCGGCGCCGGGCGGCGACGAGTTGGATGTGGCGGGACTAAAGGGAAAATGTTGGCATTCGGAGGCAGGTAATGGAGGATGAGGGGGGGACGTACCGTGATGAAGATGGCGAAGAGGGCGACGAGGGCGATGGCTGTGAGGATGATGACGGGTAAGGGAAATGCTGACAGGATGAGACCGGCAATGACGGCGAGTAAGGCAGCGGATAACCTTGTGAGGAGGAGAGCCACCATCCCGGCGGTCTATGTGTTGGCCGATTACCAGTGTCTTGTAAAACCTGGCTATTGGTTGCGAGGCAACGTGGCAGCTCTTCGTTGCCCGCCGTCGGGCGGCTGACTGACGAGACAGTCTACTTTCCTTTGGACAGTCGTAGAACCAGTCAGAGAACTACAATTTTATGTTCTTGATATCCATAGATGAGCTGCAAATACGATGCAGTGGTGCTCAGCAGACAATCAAAGTGTTGTTGTGTTTAGGTTAAATCCAGATCGGACCTGTCGCAGTGGGTCGCCGTTTATCAAACGACTTATACGCCAGACTTGACAGGCGACTTCATCTCTTCATTATACATTCTACCTTTTGGCCAACATATTTCTTCACTACAAAGCTCCCACCTCACATAACCACCCCTTCCATCCCCTTTTCACCCCCCAGCGCCATCCTTTTAAAGTTCCTGTACATTTCATACTCCCTCTCCACAATCCTTCTCGTCGCCTCTTCCGCCGCCTCCTCCACCAGCAACTCGCAGCCCTCGCCCGTCAGCGCCGAGCACTCGTAATATTTCGCCTTGATGTGTTTTGCCTGCCACGCAGCCTGCGCGCTCGACGCGCACGCCGACGCCGCAATGACGGACTGCGTCGACGCCGACAGCGGCAGCTGGTGGTAGTAGTAGCCCAAGCTGAAGCGGCGGAGCGAGGCGCCGCGATGTCGCAGGTCCTTTTTGGTGCCGAGCAGGCGCAGACTCGGCGGGAGTGGTTTGGAGCTGGAAAAGAGGCGCTCGGCGGTGAATTTCCACTGCGTGTGTTAGTGGATGAGAGCGAGAGAGAGAAGAAAGGGGGCGGATACCCAGGCGACAATAGCTTGTAGGGAGGAATGGTCGCTTATATCAAAGCAGAGAAAAATGATATCCCAGTGAATATGGGCCAGGAGCTGCACGGTGGCGAGGTCCGGCGCACCAGAGGTATCCCAGAGCTCGACGCGCGCGGCGCTGTGTCGCGGCTGATGTGTGTATGTCTCGTATCTGGTGCGCGGCATCACGGATGTCTGTCCACGTCAGCACTTTCTCTCCTTTGATCTCTCCTTCATCATCATGGCAAACGCAACATACATCTGGAAAATAGCCATAGCGAATGCGACTAATAGTGGTTAGCATCGGTTTCCATGTTGTGTTTCTGTGCAAAAGGTTCGTACTTGAGCAGCGAAGTCTGGCCCGCGGACGGACATCCCACAAACAAAAAGTTCAAATGCAGCTGCTTCGACATGACGGGCTCGACGACGACAGTCGACAGCCTCGCGACAGACTTTTCATCCTGTCCGCCGTAGCAGTCCTCGTCTTCAAACTCCTCGCGGCTGCGCTTCTTGCCGCGCCGAAACAAGCCCGCCAAGAACCCGCCGCTCCGTTTCTTATTCTTCCTCTTGGGACGCACCGTCGACAGCGCTGTGCTCGGTCGCGGCGGGCAAATGGTGGATTCGTCGTCGTCGGTGGTGGTGAGGTGGCCCTGCTGGCGTTTTGGCGTAAAGAGCTTTGCACGAAAGACGCTGAATCGCGATGCCGGCCGTTGCACTTCTTCCTCGTCTGTAGGGTCCTGCTCCCTGAAGGTCTGTCCAGTTCCTTTCGTCAGCTGGCTTGATTGCATCTTCGAGAGCAGAATCCAAGAGCAGAGAAAATTGCACATACCAGCCGCGTCACGGGCCGCTCCCCAAACCCATCGTTGGCAAACGGATCTTCGCGCTCGAGGCGGCTCGGAACTGAATGCCGCCACGAGTCAATGTCAATCGCCGAATCGTGCTCACTCATGCTTGGCAAGTCGATCAAGGAGCAAAGACTAGGATTCGCAGCAAAAGAGAGAGAGAAAACGTGAGCCTAGCAATATGGCCTGTGCAAGATTGACAAAGCTAGCTGGATATATACAGAATCAAAGACGGGCCGCTGATGTGCGTTTGCATCGGCGAAAAGCCCAGCCGAACAAACAGAAGAATTTGCCTCCCCATAACTCGTCCATAACTTCCCTCCCTCATTCTCCACACTCATCATCCCATCCTAAATAACCTTGTTCTTGTTGTTGTGGGAATGACCTAGAGCTGCCGTCCCACCAGATTCTGCAAATCCGCCCTTTTCAGCCTCTCTTCGTCCACCGCCAGCACATTCCTCGGAAACCACGAATCCAGCTTCCCACCGGGCCTGCCCCTCATCCCCTCCAAATCTTTGCCGTCCTGTCCCGCCATCATGATGCCCGCCGCCGCGCCGCTCAGCCACGCCCACACCAAGCCGTGCCCGTTGAAGCCCGCCGCAATCCACTCCCCCGAGCCGTTGATGACGCCGCCGCCGCCGTCGCCCGGATACGGATTGCGCCTCTGCGTCACATTCGCCCCCAGCGCGCCCACAAACGGCAAACCATCCCCCGTGAAGCCCATGATGCCCGTCCAGTCCGACTTGATCCCCCCACCGGCCGCCATCGTCGGACCGCCGCCCCAGTTTGGCTCAAACACCGTCGGCATGATGCCACGGACGTGCGCGAGCGGCAGCGCGTCCCGCCGGCTGTCATCCCACGTCCCTAGCAAGTTGAGCCCGCCGTGCCGCCCCTGCGCAAACCCGCCGCCGACCAAAACATCCCCCGGGGAGCCGTCATCCTGATCCGGCCGCTGCGTGGCGTAGTCGTAGCCAGGCTCGTACACTGTGCTCCAGGAGCGGTTCCCGTGGGTGCGCGGGAAGTGCGCGCCGCCGTCCTGCGCGGTCATGCAGCCGCGGGCGCCGGTAAGGTATTGCCGCAGACGTGGGATTAGGGCGGGAGCGTAGGCGTTGGTGGCGTGGAGGACATGCCGCGTGCGGACGACGCCGGCAGAAGTGTGCACGGCGTAGGGATGTTGTGGAGAGTTGGGCGCGATGGAGATGTTGGCGACGGGCGTGTTGCTTAGGAGCACGAGCTCGGGGTAGCGGTCAACAAGGGCCTTCCAGACGCCGGTGACGAGGCGAAAGGGAAACGCGGCGCCGGCAGGGTAGGAGATGGCGCCGGTGACGAAGCCATTGCAGCCAAACTGTTGCAGTCAGTACGCACGCTTGAAGCCGCCTTTCAACTTCTGTGCAAGCTTACCTTTTCGCACGCTTCCTCGCCGGGCCAGATATTGACCTCCGTTTCCGGCAAACTCCTTCTCAAATCCTCCACCAGTCCCTTTGCCTTTTCAAAATCCTCACTCTCCAAGAACAAATCCACCGCCTCCACGTCGCTGACCTCTCCCTCCTGCACTTCCTCCCCCAGCTCCCGCAGCGCTCGCCCACCTTTCTCCATGAACCGCAGCACCTCCCTTGCCCTCCCCTGTTCCTTCTCATCCTCCTCCTCCCCCAGCGCCTCCTTCAGCTTTGCAAAATCCCTCCACGGCGTCACGTCGATGCGGCCCGCGCCACGCCCCGTGGCGCCGCCGCACACGTCGCGGGCGTCGAGCGCCACCACCCGCAGCGGCATCTCGGTGCGCTGGTCCTGGCTTATCTCGAGCAACGTCTTGGTGGCGGCAACCCCGGCAAGGCCGGTCCCGATGACGACGTAGTCGGCGATATCGGGTAGAGGGCGCGGGTTGAGGTTGACGGAGGGGAAGGGCGGGTCGGACATCCAGTACGAGGCCGTCGCATTGGGAACGGGCGTAGCGGCGGCATGGAGGGCGCGGTTGACGAAGGCGTTGTAGCCGGCGCTGTAGCCGGCGCTGATTTGCGCGGCAATCTGCCGGTGCCGAATTAGCTCTCGTCGTACTGATGAGGATAAAGCTGATCATAGAGTTCTAACTCACCATTTCCATCTCTGTTGGCTTCTATCGCGCAGCGAATCAAGAGAATCAAGCTGCGCGTGATGCAAGTCTTCTGTGAGGGTTATCATGGTTATACACCTTTGCGCTGTATATAAATACTCCTGTCAGGTCAGGCGGAAGTACAAAAAAGGCTCAAGCACCGAGACACAGACAGCTCATCTGTCTCGGACAATAATAAGGTTTCTTCTGTGCGCAGATCAGTTAGCGGGGGCTGGCGTCACATTGCAACGCTCTGGAATGGGAGGTTGAACAAAGGGGCCCTTCTTTGCCTGCCGCCACCGTCATCCATCATTGGCCGGATCGCCGCTAAGCCGGCCTCTAGTCACATATGATATTTTCCATCATATATACTAGTCTCTAGTCATAAATACTGGCGAGTGCAAAGGGCAGGATGATTTAGCGACTTGGCGGCCGACTCCGTGGTCCGGAATGGGTGACTGTTGGCAAAGTGTTGGTCGCGGCTGGGAGGGAGCGTGCTTTGTACACGGACACGGAAACGGAACCGGCAATTTTATCAAAGCACCCGATTTACTGATGAGAAGAACATGCCAATTAATTCACCGTTCATCGGCGAAATTCGCAACTACGAGGATAAACACTGCAGATAGCAAACTAATCAATCTATCAGACGCATCGGCACAAACTAGACGCTGACAAGAGGTGACACCCGCATCGACTTCAACAGCGCACTTGATGCAAATTACAAACACCTCATCTTGTAAAAATTCAAATATGCGCCTATAGTCTATGCGAAGTGTGTGGGGGTATTTCTTCCTCTCAATCTTTCCATGCTGGTTTTTCAAATACGGTTTCTGCAGACCCAAAACAGTCGCTTCTTGTCGTGACCGAAAGCAAAGACAAAACAATAACAAAAAGACCCAAACAACTTGCCTACCCATTTTTGACACGTACCAGTCTTTCGTCTCGCAAGTTCTTCTGCCACTGGCAATGCCTGCCAGCGCCCCTCATCTTGTTTCCTTCGTTGTCTGTCAGAATCAACGCCGGCCAAATTCCCTAATTGAATAAGCAAACAAGAAATGCACCATAAAATGAATTAAAAGAAAAGCGCAAGAGCAGCTCACGCTTCTCATTGAAAAGAACAAAAAAGAATGAAATGGCCAGCTAGACGCTAACCATGCCATTGTCCTCCTCTCGGTGCAGCGCTTCCAGGTCCTGCAGCCCCAGGGCGCCGCGACCCAGCGGATCTAGACCGAGCTCGGCGCGCACGTCACGCTGTATCTGCAGGAAATACACCTTGAGGCTGTGCAGGCCCTTGAGAAACCCGCCGTCCGCCTCGCCCGGGTGCTGCGGCGGACACGGCTTGTCGTCAATTTTGTCAAACGGCGTCACGCTGTTGGCGAAATCGGCCACCTTGAAGTCAACCTCCCTGAGATTTCGCTTGCGGCGGCGCGGCGCCTCTTCCGTGTCCGTCGCGGCGTCCGTCGCAGACTCGTAGACAGTCTCGTCGCCCGCGCCGTCCTCAGACATATCGCCGTCGTAAAACATGAGCAGACTGGCCGCGTAGAATCTGTAGCCGCGCAGTCCTTTGACAATGTTTTCCAACTGAGCCAGCTTGCGCAGAATGACAGGAATGTGACGCAGGATGCTCTGCAGATCAACGCCGTTGTAGAGAAACTTTTGCAAGGCGTGTTGAAACTCGGAACCGGCCTTCACCCTGCGGCCAAAGTACTTGTCCTGAAAGTCGTAGCTCTGCGTCTTGTTGTTCCAGACTTGCAGGCCGCAGATGCGCACGCCCAGCTCTTGCGAAGTGGTTGTCCTGCACTTCTCTTGCTGCGATCTCTGCTTCTTGGGTGTAGCCTCTACGCCATATTGACGTGTACCCATCTTCAAGTCCATCATACAAGGACGTTTCATGCCTGCAGTGAGATCCTCCAGTAACAAAAAGTATTCGATGCGGTCGCGATGCGATTTAGCTTCCTTGGGGTTTACCGGTCGCGGAATCTTTTTGAATTCAACGGTTGGGCTGGGAAGTTCTGAGACAGCTGTGGAGCATACTGTAGAGGAAAGCTCGAATTTCATGGGCTTAGGCGTGGATTCAACAATGTCGGATTCAAACATGCCTTGTTCATCACCGTTTTCGTAATGACCGTTGGGTTCGGACGAAGATTTGTCGTTTTCCTTATTCGTCTTGCTGCTGTCGCGATGATAATCGGCGTCGTCTGCCTCCTCAAAATATTTGAGGTCGCCCCTCGACTCACGTACATCCTGCGGCCGTCTGCGAAGACCACCGGCAGAGTATCGTCGCTTCTTCTTGGCAGCGAGAGGATTGTTCTTGAGAATTTCTGGCTCGGGTGCACTAGTGCCCGTAACGTCCTGAACTTCCTGCTCTGGCTCGGGATCAGTAGCAAGGAGCCGCGAAACCGGCTCTCCAAGATCGCTTTTCGTCTCTGTTGGCATCGGTGCCGATGGTGGAGCGACGGCAATCGCTGTTGGTGAGCGTTTCTCCAGCTGGGATTGGCCAAGGTTTGAATCCGAGTTGCTGGGGCGAATCAATCTCTGCAAAGTCGGCCGAGGAATAGAACGCTGATGAGGACGACGGTGCTTCTGGATTTCAATAGGCTCCTTGAGGAAGGCATCGTTGAAAACTTCGTTGCGCAGTCGCTTGTTGATTGTCGTTGCCCCCCAGCTATTGGGTCTGTTATCAAGAAACGGGCGTTGGCTCGTGGTCCATGATGCTTGAGGCGATGTTTTAGTTGCGGAGGTGCTGTTTCTGCGGAAGTAATCTGGGGGCGGCGTTGGTTGCAGTAGACTTCGTGGAAGAATATGTCTGTTGTCGTCAAACGTGACGGTAGGTATTTGCAAGGCCGAACTGGTAATTGACTGGCTAATTACCCTGCCTGAGTTTCCACTACCAGTACCGTTTGAGGTAGCTACCGTTTCAACACCGTGGTTATTGGCCAGCTCATCCGCAGCCGCGGCGTCTTGAAGTTTTTTGCGCTCCGCTGCTGCTTGCTCTTCTTTTTTCGACATGCTCTTGCGCCTTGGCTGCTTCTGAAAAGTCACGTTCAAAACGCCGATGTATCGAGGAAGGAAGGGTAGCAAATCTCTATGATACCTCTCAATAGTTTCGTAAAATTCATTTTCTCGATTATTCAGCTGCTTGCACACGGCGCGACGAGAGAACCTCCATATCGTGGTATGGCCGCCCACCTGGTGCTTGTAGGGAATGAGCTCGATGGCCTCGAGCGGCTCGCGGCTATGAGAATGCGTATGTTCGTGATTTTGATCCTCATACGGTTTTAGGATGCGAGCAGATTTACCAGTGGATTTGGCCGTCTTGGTTTCAATGTCGACTTCGACGGGCTGAGCTTCGGGCTGGGCAGCTTCTTGCTCAATCCGTCGCGTCGCCAAATTATCTCGTGACCGACGGTGCGACACTTCGTAAGGCTTGGCATCGTCTTGTCTTCTTTTGGGCTCTGGCTCGTCTGCCTTAACAAGCCAAGGGTGGGACTGATTATGTGACAGTGCACGGGGGCGCTGGGAATGCTCGGAACTGGAGCTCTCAACTTCGTCCCTAGGATCGTCGCTCAGCTCATGGTGCGGAACAAAGACTGCAGAGGATATTTTCTCCTCGCTTGACTCGTCTGCATCGCCGTCGCCACTGTCACACGAATCTCGGCCTTTGGGGGTATTCGGCGAAGGCAGCTGATCAAGTGCGCCAGCGGGCTCCGGCACCGGCCCCACATCAAGTGGCGGCACAAAACTGGCCTTGGTCTGTGTGTCGTCGGAGGCTCGCACAAGAGGTGTCTCATCGCCAGCGACGTCGTCCTGCTCAGTAGTGGGATGATTAATCGGTTCAAAGTCGTGCGTAGTTTCGTTTCGCGGCCGGGTGTCCATTTTCTGTAGTTGTGTTTGCTGCGGGAGCGGCTCGTCATCGGCCGTGGCCACATCAGAGACGCTGGACGAGTCGAAGACGGGCTGTTCAGTTTCTTCCGTGGTCGAGGTCAGCTTCTCGCGAGCGGCTTTTGTGTCTTTACGACGGGGCTTCTCTTCATCTGGCAGGGCCTCTTTGAAGAAGCGCAAGCTGTAACTGGCTTTGCGACTACGGGCATTGGGTTCAACGCCAGCCATGGCCTCAGCAACGGATTTTTCAACGAGGCCATTCTCCTCGCTACCCTCGCTCGCAACAATGGACCAGATCTTTTCCGTTTTGTCCGGCGCATTCACATGGCGGTGGTCGAGAGCGTAGTGGCGGCCCTGCTGTCGTAGGTCGGAGGCGGTGACGGCGTCTCGCAGTTTCGAGGGTGATGTAGTGGTACGGTCAAAGTAGTAGGCCGAGGTGGCGGCAGTCACGTCATCGGGGCTCGTAGAGTAGGAAAAGGGATGGTCAGAAGGCAGCTCAAAAGTCTTGCGGTCAATGTCGAGGGAGGAGGATGCGCGGCCGCGGGTTCGGTCGAGAAATTCTCTGTGTTCCATGAGCGAGTCGCGAATGTGTGCGATTGTCTGGTCTGTAAAAGAAGCGGTGCCAGGCAGGGTATCGCGGCCGGTGAGTGGCATGGCCATGGAGGGTGCAGCAGGAGACGCCATCGCAGATGTTTTCTCTTTGTTGTCGGGTGGTGTTATGGAGCTCGCGGAGTGGCCATGCTGCGCGGGCTTGTCGCCGTCTGACTGCTGAGAGGTCTGCTCCGGCACAGTGTTGGCAGTTCTGGAACTGTTTCTGCTGTCGGTGCAAGTTTGCTGCCCGGGCTGCTGTGTCGTCGTGTGTCGTTGTTTGTCTGCACTATCGTTGTGCGGTGCCGCAGGCTTGGAGGGTATGCCACGGGCAGTTGCGAGAGCTTGTGAGAGCAACGAGGGGGCGGCAGACGAACGTTGGAGTGAATTTGAAGTAGAGCCGGAGTTGGCAGCGGGTTCGGACACGGGAATGAGGCGGGCAGGCCGGCACTTTATATCAGCAGCGTCGGCAGGTGTGCCTGGTTGGGCTGGGGCGATGTTGCGAAGCGGTGTCGCAGCAGACAGGGGTAAGGGGTGTGAACCTGGCAGAGATTGGGTGGCAGAAAGGGTATAAGGACTGGTAGGTTTGGTAGAAGTAGCCCCAGCATGAACAGAAGGAGGCGTGAGGGTAGAAGCAGGCGTCGATGTAGGGCTCTGAATCGGGAGGTGCTGTAGATGCGGCTGGACCTGAGGTGGTTGAGGGTCGGGGGGGTCGTGGGCGCAAGCTTGGTCGGCAGCAACGTCTATGTTTGACCGTGCATGTGGCAGAGGGTGCGGCAGAAGTATTCGATCGGGGCTGGGGGCGAGGGTAGGTGGTACTGGTGCTGTTTCTGCTGTTTCTGGTAATGCTACCAGGTTGTGGCGGCGGTGGTGGTGGTGGTCATGGTCATAGTCGTCGTTGCTTACTGGGGCGAGTGGTGCGCCAATGTGCGACGGGAGACTCGGGCTCGACATGGAGAGAACATTTGGGCGCAGCAGGGCGACGGTCGATTAGGCGTGGGTGGGATGATTCGTGGCAGATTTGAGTGTGGGTGAGGATGGGTGAGGAAGGGTGTCTGTGTGTGCGTGTGAGGTTTTGGCAGTTGACCGGGCCCGGAGGATGTTTAGGTGGGAAACGTGGGAAATACGGCGGAGGGGTGGGGGAAGAAAAGATCGGGAGCAAAAAGACTATCCGGCCTAGCTAGGGGGGGGGGGGGGGGGTTTCAAACTCTGGAAGTACGAGACTTCATTGGCCGATATACCAGTAGCTTGGTTGGGTTTAGTTTGTTGTTAACGTTATCTTGTTTGAAGTTTTAAATAATCTTTGCTTTTGGGGGAAATAGAAATGATGAACTGGAAACTGCCCAATTGATGGCAGAAGCCAAGACCGAGAAGAGGGAGGGGAATCGAGGTTGAAGGTAAACCGAAATATAAAAGAGAATATAAAAGAAGGAAAGAGAATTCAGTAGGAATTCAAAGAGAAAAAAAATCAAGTGCGGTACCGCGTTACAGGGCGTACCACTCACTGTGTGACTGGGCAGTGGGCAGTGGGCAGTGGGCAGTGCAGTGTATTTTATGTGCTAAACATTCTTGGCTTTGGCGTCATTATTTACAGGCCATCACACCATCACAGGTCATCACATCAATCACAACCATCACAACCATCATAGCCCACCACGTGCCATTCCAGGGACGCATTATCCAACCTTTTGGGAACATGGCATTCAAAAACTGCCTTGCACCTGCCTCATGCCTCCCTTAATACGGAGACTGAGTCAACAATCAAGACTTTCTTTGTCTGACTCTCATCAGCACTCTGTTTGTCTGACTGACTTGGCACAGCCTATGATTGTCGCCGCACCCAAAGCATGGCACAGCCCTGTGACGCCGTCCGCACATCATCCATCAATAACTTACCCCAATCCTCGCACTAGTCGTCGACCGACGGGTGCTTATCATCGCTGGTCTTCCATCGGCTCCATCACCAGTTGCAGCGAACAATTTCTTGACAGCCAAGCGTGGACCTCGGGCTCCGGTCCGTCCATTCCCGCCACCGCTCACAAGTTCCTAGCCAGCCATCGCAACGCTCGACCACAAAACGGATATCTTTTCCTGGGGTTTTAGTGGCCGTGGTCCATCTTCCATATCAGTACTCACGATGCCAGCTCGCTGTTGAATACTATTTACGACGCCTTGGCTGCCCCTACTCATCGACGCTGTCCCCAAACCCAATCTAGCGCCATACAACCAAGACAAACAGCAAGCTTTGTCCGGCCTTATTCTTATTTCCTATTAAACTCGTTACATTGTTGACCGTTGACTAGGTAGGTGACTGACTAGGCGCAGCACCTCGCGACGTGTCCTGACACACGGCATTCCCACGTGCAAAAGCCTATCCTGAATCCTCACCGACGGCCTGAATACTCCATACCAGTATCCATGAGCAGCACACGTCGCTGCGCTAGTCGTTTCCGGGTGCCCGGCTCAGGGGCCGTCTGTGTAGGTAGTCAATTAGAAGCCAAAGCTCAGCATGCTCCCAGCCTCCTACTTCGTAATGACTCCTTAGTACCGACGACAATACCGCGATGCACAGCCTCTTCCCCCGGCAGATTAGGAGCCGCGCCGCGCTATGGTACCAAAACCCCTGTTGTTTAGGAGAAGCATCCTCTTTCCTTGCTCGCTTGCTTGCCATATGGCATGCAGTTATACTCTCTTCTTCTTCTTCTTCTTCTTCTTCTTCTTCAGTCATGGCCCTTTGCTCCCTCGTCGAGCTGTCATTGCCGCCCCGACGCGGATGCCGTGGCTTCCCTAACGCACCGACACCGCCAATGCCACCCTTGCTTTATTTCCAACAACTGACACGGCGAAAAAAGGCCAATGACAACACGCCATGCAGCCATGCAGCCAGCCATGCAGACTCTTCCCAGTCCGGAAACTCACCTCTCTACAACACTGTTGCCCTCCACCAATTACGCTGTCACTACACGGTGCACACTGGTCCATGCCCATTCCGAATACTCACTATTCAGTGCTGTCAGTTGTGCTTCAGTGCACACCATGACGGCATCCAGCTTGCCAGTCCTTCTCATATGGAATGTCGATTCAGAGTTGAATGATAGTTAGTTGAATCAGCGCATCCTGTTCTTTGCACGTGCCGTCCGCCGCCCGTCATCTACTTGCTGATGCCAAATTCCCCCACGCCTTGGCTAGCGCTGATCTCCAGGCATGGACGTCTGAGTCCTTCTAGCGCCGAACAACAAAGAAGCAAAACTCATTTATACAGTACCTTGCTATAATGTGTGCGCAATTCCAGGGTCCAGCGACGAATGTTAACGCAAATGGCAAAAACGTGGTCTGAGAGCACTCTCAGGCCATCAATGCTCTTCCGGACGCCACGGAGGCGCTGTCAAGTGCCAGAACTTTCATCTTGAAACTCGCCCTGACCAATCTTTTGAGTATCGATGTCCTGTCAGTCGCTCGCACCAAAGTCTCATGGACGTGACTCAAGGAAAGACATGAATGGTACAGATAATCCCTAGCTGCACGCATGATGTTGACTGCAGCAATGTCCCAACAATGTCCCGGGCAGCATGTCACATGGCACACTTCTTGTTCCGCCATTGGTGCTTTCCATTTTTTGGGCTCACAGACAAACAGAAGCTGGCCGCCACGTACAAATCCATCTCAGCTCTCTTCTATACATATTGGCTTAGACACCGCCCATGGCTTGCTTGCCTACCCAACCCCTGTCTCTGTGCTGTTTCACGCAAAAGTTAGCAATCCACGTAGGCTTGAGTGCATGCATAGATGTGCCACACTCAAATTACTCGGCGCAACGTAGTAGACTTGTATTATCGTCGGACGCTTTCACATCCAGCAAAAAGCCTGGCCCCGAAGAGGTCGGTTGGAGTTTGTTTGCGCACAGCAGCGGCAGAGTTGGATGGTGCATGCGCTTCGGGACTATACGCTTGCGGCCGCCGCCCATATCTCATCATGCAGTTAGGATGAGGGCATTTGTACGGTACTTCGTTTAATAACGTTCCGGCACACTACAACCCCCCTTTGCATCACAGTCCGACCTTTGGCAACATCTGCAAGCTATAGTGATACTCCTAGTAGGTACATATCATACGTACCAGTGATGACTGCGCTGTTTCGGTATAATACTACATACTGTGATGTTATTTACCAACCTCTGTTTGCTTCTATTTACAAGTAAGCACTTACTAATATATACACCGCAGAGCTGGAAGGGGGGCGTGTGTATGACTTTTGACGCAAGGCTTTCCTATTCCGGCGCAAGAAGAACTTCAGGCAAGCGCAGCCTGATCCTCAGAGGAGCTTTAAAAAACCCATTTTGATCTCGACTTACGAATGAAAAAAAGAAAAAAAAGAAGAAGAAAACTCTTTCACTACTGAGTATGCATGGACCTGACTCCCCACGTTGAGACGCCCGGCCAGACAATTGGACCATCCGGGTCGGTGGAGCCAACTTTGTCTTGCTCTGCCGGCCCCACACGCCCGTCACCAGCGCGGGAAGCCCGTCTTCTTGGCGTCTGCTACGTAGCTGATATTATGAGTCCTTGTTCGAGAATGACAAGTTGTCTTTTTTTTTGGTTTTTATAGAATTGTGTACTGCTTTGGTCATGTGTAGGCTCAATTCTCGCAAACTAGCTTGAAAACTCATGGTTTTTGCTTTTCTGACTGAACACGCTTGATCGTTGCGAGGGCACGGCGGTGCCAGGCTGACGACGATGCGCCACAGCACCCGGTGGGGGGGGAAGGGCATCAACGGTGAGTTACCCTGTACCATAATTTATTCGATGCTGGAAACCGCGCAATGGGCGCTTGAAACGGCATCCTGCATAGTCTTGGCAGTGAGTTGATGAGTCTGCAGCAATGAAAATTTCGCCGTCCATTGTTGAGCGGCCCTGCCCGAGTGTTGGACGCCAGAAATCTGAGCATACAAGTCACGACGACGACGGCTTGCTGCAGGGGCTGCCAACACACAACCCAACATATGACATGGGCCTCCTCATGGTGAGATGCGCGGATGATAGATTAAACGTAGAATTCATCTCTTGTTACACCCGAGGAACGGACAAAGAAACATGATGATGCGATTTATTACTTGAAGATTTACACATGAAAGAAATGCAAGTCAAATGGTATCTAAAGTAAACAATATTCAGGACAAAATCGGGCTATCCATAAACGCCAGCTGATGATTGATACTTCTCCTCAAAGCCATACATTTTGCGACTACGTGCCCGACGTCGCCGCCTCGGCCTGCAGCTTTTTCGCTGCGCTGAGCTCCGCGTCCACGTCCCATGCTTGCCAAAAGTCGCCCATCTCGCGCACCATATCTTCTACCATGTCCATCGGCTCGACCGACAAGGACGCCTCGCGCGGTCTGTCCCGATTCTCAGCCTCATCACTCTTATCCGCCGCTGCTGTCACATCCTCCATCGCCACGTCAGCAGTGTTCTTAGCCGTGAGGTTCGCGTTTTGACTACTGATGATGGTGTGTAAGCTGCTGTCGACGATGACACGGTCTGTATCCGCAGTGACGTGAAAACGGTGTCGCAGTCCGTCGGTGCGCTTGACGACAGAAGAAAAGTGCTTTGCAAACTTTTCGTTGGAGGCCGTCGGCAGCTCCGCCAGCGGTGTCCGAGGAGGCGGCGAGGACGGCACATTACGGTCGGTCTGCCGCCCATCCGCTTTCTCACTCGGAGTCGTTGCCTCTGCTTCGAAATCGCCTGGAAGAAGCCACGAGACCACCTTGCTCGTGCGCCGAGCTGAGCCCGCGTTTCGCGACACCAATATGCCTGTGAGGCTCGGGTGACGAAGCCTGGATCCTGGAAGCCGGCGGCGCTTCGCAACACGGAGACGCTCCGGGGACGGTGTCGAAAAGGCGGCAAATGGCTTGAAGGCGAAGCGAGGCTCCGAGTTGCTTGCACTTCTAGAAGGGGATGGAGTTCGTGGCGGCGTAGTAGGATTTGCAGCCGGAGGAGCCACCTCATATGCTGCCGCGGATGGTACCGGGGTTGCTTGCCGACCAGGTGAGTGTGGCTCCTCCGGCGGACCTGCAATAGACACGCCCTCGGCCGTCTCATACTCGAATGGTTCGTTGCGCGATACTACCATTTCCTGTTCCACCTCGGCCGAGTGCTGTGGACATGCGGGAAGTGCATCACCTTCAGCGCCACGAATTTGAGACGTCAGTAGCTTTTCCGACATCGGAGCACTGTCCTGATCGGCAAACAGCTGTCGACAATTCTCATTATTTTCTTCAGCAGACACTTCGTCGGCGTTTAAAGTCGTTACGGGCTCGCCTACCCTAGGATCACACTCAACTGTCGTTGATATAACTTCGTGCTCCGCGGGAACATCCTCGACGCTTGGCAGAACATGCTCTTCCATACTGGGCAGAGAAACGGGCTCTTGTGTCGCACACTGTGCAGGAGCGGAGGCGAGATGCGTACGCTGGGCCCATGGAATTGAAGGGACAAGGCTTCGCAATATTGCCTTGAAAGAAAATTCTGATGTCTCCCGTTTGATTCGGGGAGACGGTGGTACAGCAGTCTTAGCCGCTGACAGGGTTGATGTCTCCGCAGTGACACGAGGCCTGCACTCTACGTGCTTCTTTGGTGTGATAGTGACGACAGCGGAAACCCGATCAATTGGGTTGGGCGCAACTTCGGGTTCGGCGGCGTCTGGCCGAGGTGCTGAGCTAGCCTCTGCGTCCGAGAAGCCATGCCACTCTCGGCTACTCGAAGGATCATCTTCGTCTTCAGTGGCTGCACAAGGTACGGCCAGTTCAAGAGCCTCACCAGCTTCGTTAGACTGGGCAGACCCTCCTTTCTCTAAAACAGTATCAAGCGAACAACTTTTTTCCACCTCTGCGCTATCATCAGCTTCGGTATGCTGTCCGACTTGAGCATCGCTAGTCGTATCCAAGGCTTCGTATTCGCCTTCATCCGCCATCTCTGTGTCTGCATGCGCCGGAATCTTGAATGGGTCTTTGTCCATCTCGCAAAGTGCATTTGAAGCCTCTTCCACTAATTCATCCTCATCTGTTAGTTCTGGGGAGTTTGACAGCTCGGTGAGGTCCGAATCTGACGAGGCGTCCTTTTCGATGTTGGAATCATCATCAAATGCTGATGGTTCGCGTTGGACTTTTCGCAATGCGGCGCCGCCTGTGCACTGCATATTTTGACTCGTTTCGTCTTCTTCACTTTCAGACGCATCCGAGCGCGGATCTAGGGCGATATCAAAGACAAATTCTTCGTCATCTGGTCCTTGATATGGCTTGCTCCCGCTGTCGATACTGGCCATGTAATGATTGGCTGCTGTCTTCGAAGGGCTGACATGTGTAAGTTCGGATGCTTCGTTGGGTAAAAGATGGGCTCTCGCTTTGATATTGAGAGGTGAAGACTGTGTAGCAGGCTTTTCTTGCTTGACGTTTCGTAGAGATACTGGGGATGATAGTGTTGCAGCGGCCTGTTGCTCTAAACTCAATTTGTCGCTGGGCTCGCTATTGATCGGGGCTGTAGCCCTCATAGTAATCCTGGAGTTTGAGAACGGCTTGGGTGGCGAAATTAGTTGTGTGGTAGGATTTATTGCAGGGAGTTTCGTGCTTGGATGCAGTCGCATATTCGGTCCAAGGCCTGGCAGTTCACCGCTTTGTATCGGTAGATCTGGTAAAGTAGGCGTGCATGTCTCGGATATTTTCGATGTATCATCCTTCGCATGTTCAATTTTGCTTCTCTTATCGGAAACCGTCTTCAGCCAATTATGGCTTGCCTTGCGTTTGGGAGGATGAACGTCGGTGACCGATGGCGTCGATTCTTGCACGGCGGGTTCCAATGCTGGAATACTGTGGCGCCATGCTTGAACTGTTTGTAGCTCTTCATTCTCAAGATATGGATGGGGCTCCGATAGCAAGGATGCCGTCTTGAGGCTTTGCGGACTAGGCAGATGACACTCTGATCCGTCGAATCTCCCTTCCGTACCAAGATGGTTAATATGGCGTTTTCTACTCTTGATAGAACTAGATCCCTTCGCAGCGCGTGCTATTTGAAGATCTGGTTGTCGGGCAATTCGGGTCTGGGACTTGCTGGCCCAAGGATTCTTCCAGCCTTGGCTGCTTTCAAAAGGTCCCGTCAGCGATGCCGAGAATAGCCTTGGTGCAGACCCCGCGAGAAAGCGTTGCCCGGCAAGTTCATATCGACGTTTCCTCTCGCGAGAGTTTTCGTATTGGTCGTCATCAGACCCAGAGTAATAGACATCCTCCTCGGGGCATTTGGACTCGCAATAGATGGTGTCGACAAACGGCCAGTTTGATCGAGAGGTTCGGGGCGACATGGCGACGTGCAAGATACTTGCCCAGAGAGAAACATGTGGAATATTATTTTGCGAGACAGGTAGCTTTCGTGGAAAATCGATGAGGGGCTGGATCTCTAAGCTACTTACAGCCTGTGACCTAAGTTCAGGATTGTCCGGACAAGTTCACGAAAGCCATCCCATAGACGCGTGTCGCGTCTCCACGTGACGGCGCGTAAAGTGGCACTTCGCGTTTGCTTGACGCTGGTGCGGATCTCGACAGCATTGATTAAAAATTCTGTGAGACGAAATATAAGACCCTCTATGTAATTCTGTATCATTCTTGAGCTCAATTTACTTTCAAACAGCATCGTGTTGCTCATGATGCTGCATGTCAAGTTCCTGGAGGAGGTTGGCACATGTGCACGTGAGGCGTGAAAAGTTGGCACGGCAACCACACTTACTTGATCTGGACTGCTCGTTTGTTTACCCGAGCAGGGACATAACCACGCGCAGCCGCAAACGAATCGCGCGCCATTGGCACTGGATGCACTAATTACCTGACAAAAACGCCGTTGTAGCCAAGTCGAACTTATCTGTCATTTCTTTGGACTAGTGCTTTCCTATCACGCTCTTTTTCGCATGGATATATCGTTTGAGCACGTTCATCCTGCTCGCCCTCACCCTGCGACATACTTGCCATACGATCCTCAACCCCACCAGAATATCTCAAGCGACAACAGTCCCCGGATGACAATGTCATACTAGCCGGAGCGACATCCCCAGCTCGATCTTACCCTCTACGCACATATCCCGGCAGCGATGGCCCATGCATGGCTGGACTCCCTCTCCGAGGATTGGGTTTCTGAACCTCGCTCAGATGCTTCAGAAGCACAGCTCCCGCCACTGAAACACCATGCTGATGCCACACCAAGCAAAATTCCTCGCCGTGCCGGCGCGAACCCTGTCTACTCTCCAATTACCGGCAACAGCAGCCAAATACTCAATGAAAGAACAGCTAACGAAAGAAATATATCACACAACAAGCTCCCGTCAAGATTATCGCGAGAGCTCAAGCCGGACTCCAAAGACTCGCGCTCCGTTTCTGCTGCGACATGCGGCTCTGTCGTGCACAAAATCGCGGATTCGAATGTTGTAAATGAAGGAACCCCAGACTGGAAACGCCGCCTGATCAACGGCGAGGTGCCGTACGGCGAGCAGCGCGACTTGTTTTGCTCCGCCGGCACTGGCCTCCAGGACATGTTTAAGCCGCCACAGGCAGAACTTGCTGATACTCAGGACGATCCAAATAGCCTTGACCGAACAATGCCTTCTAGTCCGCCGCTATACCAATACGAGCCAGATGAAGATATTGATCGCCTGCTAGAACTTACCGAGGTGGACGAGCACGAATTTCCAGAACAAGTGACGCCTAGTCCGAGCCCAAGACGAGGAACACGCAGCACTCATTTTCGACCAACCTCAACCGGCAATAGCTTCCTCTCATCACTACCGGCAGAAAATTATGTCGACGAATCTCCCCTACAGCACGTCGGCAGCATCGCTCGCAATAAGGTACAGCTCGATGCGCCGCGGCCTGCGCAAGGGTCTCTTCGTCAAGTGAGCGGTCTTACCGATATCCATAACGAAAATTTCAGCCCTATTGTTATCGGCCGGCAGAACGAAGAGGATGGGCAAGTCAAATTCGGCGCTATGGATTTACCTATCGGTGAACTGCACTTGAAGCTGGAGCGTGTAAAAAAGAGTCAAGCTAGTGATGCCGAAGATGAGTCGCTATATCCGGGCGCACCGGTGGAGAGAGCTTCCGAGATTGACGCGCTTGATCACTTTGCCCGTAATGCGGGTCAAGTCAACTTGCGACGTGGCGGCCGCTCGGGAGATGGCTCTTTCTATACCAAAGCGCTGAGCTCTGACCTTGGCGTCGACACCTCGGAGATGCTGCCAGAAGAATCATTACAAGCCAGCACGCCAAAGGAGTATCCTACTATCCGAACGGAGCTGCCTTCACGGGTTGCTTCTCAGTCAGCGGGAAGCCCACCACTGCCCCGAGCACCCTTTCCCAGCCCAGACAAACGCAGAATAAATCCAAGCGGGAGCCCGCTGAAGCTTTTCGGGCCTTACGACACATTTACGAACCAAACTCTATTGCGGCGAATCAGTCAGTTTGAGGATGTCGGTTCCGGGGACTCGTCGGGCCAGGGCACGGGTCTAGCTAACCCTGAAAAGACTGACCCCATGGACGAGAGCCGACGATCAGTGAGCTATTTCGGTGGCGGTCAATTAGACCATTACGAATTCACAGCAGACATGTCTGAGGCATATGATATCTTTGATGGCACGGACAAGGAGAATGTATCGCCAGAGGCGCATATGATTCCTACGGGATCTCGCCGCCACGTGTCTTTTGCGAATGCATCTAAGCTGCTCGTTACACGGCGGCGAGAGCGATCTGGCGCGTCGACCGATGTAGTGATGGAAGCGCAGCGACTAACCGTTGCCAAGGATGCGCCTGAAGGATGCGGGGAACGCGATCATGAGGCGTCCGATGCCAAGCGTGCGATGAACTCTCCTGTCAAAGACCCCACACCGAAGAGACGGCGAACTTTGCGACGCTCCGACGCCACTCATGGCCGACAAGAGCAGCTTTCCCAAGTAGACACTGCTCACCAACAAATGCAGAATGTCTTGGGCAAGAAGCGCAAGGACGCCCGTCCTGGTCAATTTCAAATCGCAGAACCAGATGTACTAGCCGGGAGAAAGATTCTGAAGCCTTGCTCTCCTACTTCGAGCCGAACATCGTCGCAAGAATTTGATGACTCTCTGAACAAGGCGAATCAGACTGGCGTTGCCCCCACCGCGACGGAGCGAAAGCCATCCATCAAGACGCAAGATTTTGTTGATCAAGCAGCGCAAATTATGGCCATGATTCGGAGTCAGGTGAAGCCGACTGGACTGGCAAGTTTGGAAGAGTCAAAGGAAGAGCATCACACTGGTGGAGATGTTGAAACAGAGACAGCAGGGTCGCAACCAGACTCCACATACGAACCCCTGTCTCGACCCCCGAGTCGCGAAGGCAAGCAATCGCCAAATTACCAAGAACGGTCAATTGATCCGGAATTGGATGCACGATTGAAGCAGTACAAGGAGATGAGCGACATGGGTGATCTTGCAACATCGTCGATCCGGTCTACCCGCATGGCGCAAGATACCCTCCAAGAGGCTCAGTTTCAGAGGCAGATTCAGCAGACGACTTTCGGGCGTGTTACAGCTCCAACGGCGGCGACTACTGATATTGTGAGCGATCTTGCTAATGTGCGAATCTCTGGTCCGTTTCTGGATTCTTCGCCGCCCGCCAGCCCAAGTCGGGGCTATCCTTCGAACTCATCCACTCGCTCTGCAAATACTATGCCTACGACATCTTCAACCAACTCTGAATCTAGAAGAACAATCATGCCCGAAAGTGTTTCACATCTTATTCCTGATCGGGTGGGTAGCATGTATCTCGACAAATCTCAAAATATTTGGATCAAGAAGAAGGAAGCAAATCCCGACGCTCAGAATAGCGTCGCAACAATCGACGACAGTGAAGATGACCCGTTTGCTAGCATCCCTGATCTCACTGTCGATATGACACAAGAACTGCGGAACTTGAGACGAGTTATGGAACTCGGACAAACTGCAGGCGGAGCCCCCCAGTCCTCTCCTGCCCTCAAGCAGGCCGGCTTTATTCCACCCTCGCTCGATCAAGATGGAGAGAAGGCGAAAGAGCTGCCCCAATTAGGCAATCGAGAGGCTCAAGAAGCCTATGGCTCTCAAAACGCAACGACAAAGCGAAGAAACATGACCATTTCGTTTTCGTCGCCGATTGCGTCAATTATTCAGGAAGCCATTGCAACGGGTGCCGATTACTCTGATGAGCAGGCGATACCCAACACTATCGACTACGACAAAAGCCCAGACCAATCACCACCAGAGAGCTTGGCTCGTCAACCAGCTTTGCGGCAAAAGGACACCAAGTCTAGGCCGCCAACAATGAGATATGCTTCACAACAAGGACCGGAATTCATTCGTCGCCCAATTTCACCCATCAATGAGCAAGACGAAGATAGTACAGTCGAGCTGCTGGCCAATGATGCAAACCAGGTTAGCTTTGTCGGCGAGCAGGGTGTCATGAATTACGGGGGAAACGAGAGCCGACAAGCATCACTCAGCGTCATCATCAGCCGAACACCGGGAAGTAAGAGCCTGGCCGTTACTGGCGACGACAGTGCAATCATCGGACAGCATATTGGGCACATGTCTTTGAGTCCACTTTCCGACTTCAACGTTCATCAAGGAGATCAGTCGTTTGGCTTCGAAGTTAGCTACGTGTTAGGCAATCGACACCTGTCAACTGGCGATGGCTCCAAGAAGGTCATGTCACTGACACTGCGGGAGCTCGTGGAAAGACTAAGCGAAGTTGAGCCATGCGAGCCGTACTGGCAGGATATTGAGGAGCTCGACTTGAGCGAGAAGCGACTTTCAAGCTTGCACATGCTGGAAGAGTTTTGCGGTAAGGTGGTGACTCTTGATGCATCGCAGAATGCGCTTGGCCATCTGGAAGGAGTGCCCTCTAGCGTGCGGCAGCTCAAGGTATCGCAGAACATGCTGACGGAGCTGACTTCGTGGAATCACCTGGTTAACCTGCAGTATGTTGACATTTCTGGCAACGAGGTCAGAAGTCTATCTGCACTGAGAAACCTGGTGCACCTGCGAAGCGTCAAAGCGGATAACAATAAGCTCGCCAGTTTGGATGGGCTGGCTTCGCACGAAGGACTGCTTTCGCTGCGAGCACGAGACAATTTCATTGAGGAACTCGATTTTGAGGACAGCACCTTTAGCAGGCTAACGGAGCTAGACCTCGCGGGCAACACTATCGAGATTGTTTGCAACATGCATCTTGCGCCATGCCTATCGAAGCTGAAGCTGTCCAACAACAGAATCCGGACATTCGAAGCAAGCAAATCATGCAAAACGATTCGTCATCTAGATGTCAGCCAGAACAAGCTGGAGCATCTGGATGTTACTGGGCTACCGAATCTTCACACCTTGCTTGCTGATGGCAACCATCTGTCAACTGTGACTGGGTTGGAGCGGACTAAACGACTTGACAGCCTTTCTCTGCGGGAGCAGCGAGGTCAGGAGCCGCTCTCTCTTGGATTCTTGTCGGTAGGATACGAAGTGCGCAAACTATATCTTTCTGGTAATTACCTGGAGTCATTTGAGCCCAGGGTGGATCTGCTGAATCTGCAATTACTTGAGCTTGCCAACTGTGGCCTGACGAGCCTGCCCGATAATGTTGGACAATTAATGCCGAATTTACGATCGCTCAACATCAACTTTAACGCGATTATGAGTGTAAAGCCTCTTCAGTATATTCCGCGGCTGAAGAAGTTGATGATGGCAGGCAACCGTCTTGCAGACTCGACGTCGGTCACACAGCTGCTCACGGACTTTCCTCACTTGTCAAGACTGGACACGAGAGACAACCCCATGACGCTTGGGTTTTACGCACCGTTGCAGGCTCTGGTAAAGGCGAATGGAAACGACACGACAGCGCCGTTTGCGCTGCCGGATGCCGATGAAGAACGAGATGAGTTGTACGCGAGCCGACTGGATGAGCCAACGAAACTGCGGCGGAGGTTGCACCAGGTAGTTTTGGCAGCTAGCTGCAGTCGACTGCGGATGCTGGATGGCCTGCCGTTGCATCGGAAGCGAGCGTTGGCGATGGACGATCTATTGGCGGCACTTGTCAAGGAGGGGCTGGTCGAGGTACCAGAGCAAAACGAAACGAGCGCAAACGACGACGTGGCGCAGGAGAAGAATGAGGCGGACAAGGAGGGATGCGAGGAACGGCAAAGCAGTCGATGGAATGGTGAAGACAGCTTTGCATAGGCGATTGAGCAGCCGGCGGCGCGGAAAAGCTTTGTTAGTACGACTAATGGGAACGACATGAGTGAAAGGAGACGGGGTGCATGTGGAAGGAATAATACTGATGACTGGATTCGGGGAGCTTTTATTATTATTTTTCCGGGCGTTGCATCATGGACAGGATAGGCAAGGCGTGCATTGGAGTGTAACCGTAAGGGATTCGTTTTGGGACAGCTTTTGTTATACATTTGAACTGCTGTGCATGGCAAATGATATTTGGATTAGATGGTATATTTAGACGAAGGCATATTTGTCTGCATATGGTGTTTTGACTGCTGCTGGTGACGGGTGCTAGTGGTTACTAGCCTTGCTCGTCTGGGCGAACCGTCTCTGAAATTTTTGAATGTTGGAACAGATGACGAGTTGAGATTGTAGGGCTTGCTTTCAAGCAGTTTCTGAGGAGGGGCTGACTAGCAAAACTGCGCAAGGGAGCAGGAGAGGCCCAGGTGGCTGCATGAGAAATCGTGGAGTGTCTGAGAGGGGAATGAAGAGGGATGCGGGGAGGGCGCAACGGGCGCCAGTAAAATTCCGCTGGCAAGAGAACACAGGTAGAGGAGGCGCAGGGAATCTTGACAGTTTTCTTGGATCTTTTCCCTTGGATCTTGCCTCCCTTGGGTAATCTGACATTTGCTTATTAAATCTAGATTAACTAACAACTAGGGGATAAAGGCCATGTGTAATGCTAACATGAGGGCGCGCGCGACTCCGAAGTAGCAGCCGCTAAGCTCTAGTGTGACTGTATGACACTGACACAGACAGGGAAAAGAAAAAGAAATGAAAAAGAATGCAGACGCATGCCTCGCATCATGTCATTATGCATGGCTAGTCAGGGCACATGCAAATCGCATGTCGTGTGTCTCTAGTTAGGTGCAGTGGCGGGCTGCATAATCAACGATCCGTGCGACGGGCGGGCCAAGCCGATTTTTGCGGGTGAAACGTGAGCTTTATTGGTGCGAATTTTGGATAAATTACGAAGTAGTGGGCGAATTAGCGGGCGTTTTAGTGGACGAGGCGTGTCCACAGAAGCCTGTAGGCGTTGGCGAGAACCCCTGTAGCTGGGGCAGCACCGCAGGTCCCTGAGGCCCTGGACCCGGGCATCAAAGGCATGTAGGCATAATCAAGGCAGCTCGTAATCCTGAATAGACACGATAACTCTTTACATGCCCTAGTAAATTGGCCAGCACTGACTAAGTCGCTGCTGGGGATTTATCAACACCCTGTTGCCCATTGCCTGTCAACTCGTGTCGAGAGGTACTCCACTTTGAGAAGTTGAGAGTTGGTTCTAGGCAATGCTGTGTCGGATACGGATACTGCCCATCGGCTCCCTCTGAAAGGGCCCTTTTGATTTTGGGCGTCTTTTTTTGCTTTTTCATTTTCATATGGTTATTAGAACTCACACTATTTTTTTCTCTCATTCTTACGGACTAATACAGGGTCAAAACCATCAAAGTCAACACATCGTTGTTACATCATTCAACCTGGACCGCCCCACCTGTTATTCGTTGCGTCACAGATTGTCGTGTCCTGCCTGGCGTGCTGGAACCTGGCACCTGGCACCTGGCAGCAGGTTCTTCGCCTTTGGCCCACCAACAATTACCTGCCTACCTTACCTACCTTGGGTAGCTTACCCTCACCAAACGTCTCTTCTCAATCAACAAAACAACACTTCAAAACCACATCCAAAACAACAAGAGTAACCATACAATACGGCCGAGCATCAAAAGACACCCTCGCCTCATCCCTTCCTCTCGCGGAGCCGATGGCCGCCATCGCAACGGACCACCAGGCTTCGCTGGGCCTCGAACGCTCCGTCTCCCAGCGCAGCACCTCGTCTGCCCGCTCTCATCGCAGCACCCTCCGCTCCAGCAAGTCGCGCCGTCTCAACTCCAACGCCGGCAGCTCCTCCTCCTCCAGCATTACTCCCAGCGACAAGTCCCTGACCAGCTTCCCCAGCTTTGGTGCCCCCGACAGCTCCAGCAGCGCACGATACACCCACGAGCGCCTCAAGACGGCCACCCAGGAATCAGAGGACCGTCGCTTCCGTACCGTAGTCGGCCGGCCCTCCATCGTCGACAGCTTGACAGACGCCAGCGGCCTCTCGCGCGGTGCCCTCTTTGAGGATGGCGTTCTCACTAGATCCGTCCCGGGCGCCCTGCACCAGGCCGATGACGGCCATATCGAGCGCCTAATTGCCCGACAGGGCGCCGTGTGCTTGGTTAGACAGCTTGCGCAGGATCTGGCGCAGCGCGATACCCAGATCGCCAGTCTGCGACGCCGCGCCGACGACAGGGAACGAGCCCTGCGACGCATCATCCGCGAATGCGGCCTCTCCACCATGGACCTCGAGGCCCGGCTGCGCATCGTCGAGGCTGACATGAAGACCAACGGCTCCCAAGAAAATGATTCCAGCCAAGATGGTGGCTTGATCGACCTTATGAGCGACGCCATGCAAGACACCATGTCGGACAATGTATACGGCGAGACTGATTCATTAAACTCGACAGTGCGACTCGGGTCAACGACCACGTCTGGTGGCAGTGCCGGTGCAGGCAAAGGTACCCTCCGTGGTTGGAAAGACATGTTATGGGGCTCGGGCACGGCCAAAAAGTCGAGTCGCGGCAGTAGTGTCAACGGCGACGCCGCCACCGCCCTACGAGCTCACTCGAATCTCGACCGACGGCCGCCCATACAAGACGACCTCTTTGACCCGCCCGATACCCGCTCCGTTCAATCTTCCAGTAGAACATCCAGCATATACTCGGGCGCCAGCGAAAGCCGCAGAGTGCCCGCTTCCCTCGCCAGTCGAGCCCTTCGGCTGGTGGCTGGCGGAGGTCCCACCGAGACAGAGTCTAGAGGACGCGCTGTCAGTACCACGGACAAGGCCTCGCCTGCGCGTGGAATCTCTACAGCCAGCCACAAGACTGCGCCTGCTTCAAGATCTGCTTCTGTGGCTGGGCCTAGGGCTCTCATGGCCATGAGACGGGCCACACCAGGCTCGCCCGCTGCTCCTGTTAGCTCCAGGGCGCAGGCGCAGGAGCTCTGGGGAGGCATGGCTGGCAGCCCACCAAAGTCATCGGCTGCACGCCAGGAAAGCCACGGCCCCGTGGAAATGGACGCTATCCTGCCACCGGAGTCACAGCCCCCGACTCTGACGCATATATACAAGAATCACGGCAACAGCGCACACTTGACGGACCGATTCGGCTTCATCTACGATCAGCGCCGCAAGAAGCGACAGCGTGAGGCGCAGCAAATGGGTCACATTCGAAAAGGCAGCCGCGCAGAGATGCTCAGGAATGGTCGAAACGGCATCTCGCCGAATCTGCTGGACGATTTGCCGAGCCCCAAGTGGAGCGAGACTGACGGGCGACCTGGCACCCCCGGAAGTATGGAGGACAAGGTGCAAGACGAGGGCAAGCCGAAGCGATGGCAAGACTATCTGAGCATTGCAACGTTTCCCACAGAACTGCTAAGCCATACACCGAGCGTAAGTGCTTCAGCGCTAGAGGTCCTCGAGGCCGTAGAAATGACTCGTGAGTCGGAGCAGCAGGCCAACGAGCCAGCAAAGCCGCCAACGATCAAGTCCACCGGTGCTGGCCTGGTACCTCCCGCCAGCACAACTACTACTGCCGTCGACAATGAGACGACGCAGTCTTCTGAACCTGACTCTGCAGCGCCCACCACCGTTCAGGACGACAACGAACCTGTCAAGTTATTGCTGCAGCAGCTGAGCGAAGTGCACGATTCACTGCAGCGCGACAAGACGGTGAGATGGAACGACTTTTTGCGCAAAGTTCGTGCAGAGCGCAAACGTGAGGGCGAAGCGGCTGTTGCTGCGGCAAATGCGGCCGCCGAAGCGCGTTACGAGAGACCCGCCGTCATCCTCCCCGAGACGCGCGTCGCCGACGGAGAAATCATTGGCATTTCTGGGCTCGGCAACAAGGGCAAAGTTGGGCGGGCCAAGTGGAACGAATTCAAGACGCTTGTTCTCGGCGGTATACCAGTCGCCTATCGCGCCAAGGTCTGGTCTGAATGCTCTGGCGCCACGGCGCTGCGGGTGCCTGGCTACTACGACGACATTGTGGCGCAGAGTCCCGAATCAGACGATCCGGTTGTTGTCAGCCAAATCCAAATGGATATTCATCGCACGCTCACTGACAATATTTTCTTCCGCGAGGGACCTGGCGTGGCAAAGCTTTGCGAGGTGTTGCTGGCGTATTCGCGACGCAACAAGGACGTGGGCTACTGTCAGGGAATGAACCTCATCACCGCCAACCTCCTCCTCATCACACCGTCTGCGGAAGACGCCTTTTGGATCCTGGCCTCGATTGTCGAGAACATTCTCCCGCACGGCTACTACGATCACTCTCTGATTGCGTCGCGCGCCGACCAGCAAGTCTTGCGGCAGTACGTCGCGACGGTTCTGCCCAAGCTGTCGGCACACCTCGACGCGCTGTCGATTGAGCTCGAGGCGCTGACGTTTCAGTGGTTTCTGTCTGTCTTTACCGACTGCCTGTGCGCCGAGGCGCTCTTTCGCGTGTGGGATGTGGTGCTCTGCACAAACGACGGCAGCACATTCTTGTTCCAGGTGGCACTGGCGCTGCTCAAGCTCAACGAGCGCAACCTGCTGCAGCGCGACACGGCGGCTGGCCTCTACACGTACATTAACCACCACATGACGGAGCACGCCATTAGCATCGACGGGCTCCTGCAGGCGAGCGAGGGCCTGCGGCGCGTGGTGAAGCGCGAGGACGTGGAGGAGAAGCGTACCAAGGCGATTGAGGCCGATAGGGAGATGATGGCGCAGCGGGCAGACGCAAGGAGAAGAGTGGTGAGTGATGCCGCAAGTAGTGCGGGCTCGGGAACGTCGCTGACGGTGGAGGAGCCACGGCCGATGGCGTAGGCCTGCCGGCCGTGGCGGCGTGACTTTTTTTCCCCTCTTGTTTGTCTTGATCTTGTTCTTTGCATTGCGGCGTGCATATTGGAGAAGGACAGCGCGGTTTTTTTGATACATGATGTGTGTTGATTTGTCCTTGTTGTCAGACTTTTTTGCGTACCTATACCCACAAGCATAGAGCATATACAGGTTGTTTTTTCTTCTTTTTTTTTCTTTTTTTTTCTTTTTTGGCATTGGCGTTTTTATCAACGTGTTGAAGTTTATTGATGTTGACAGGGCTGACGGCAATATTCAAGCTTTGCGCAACAGTGGTATTCATCTTTGGATCGTCCATTTCACTTAGACATATATTCTATATCCACACCAGAAATTAAATGAAGTCGTTGACATTTGAACCTCTATATTTTGTACAATTGTTTTTCTTTCATCGAAATCAACATCTTTGGGCAGACTATAGCTTCGCTTTGCCCGCCTTCCACTGCTCATACCAGACCTTGCCAAACTCGACCCTCTCTGCCACTTTATCCCCATCGTCCCGATGTCTCTGCTCCTCCCTCTCCAAGCCCTCGCCTCTCAGCTCTTTAATCAGGTCCTTGTACAGCTCGCTCTTGATGGTGCCGTACACGCCCGGCTTGGCCTTTTCCGCCAGCTTTCGGTCCGCGATAAACTTCCAGGCGTCGGCGGGCGTCGGGGCGAGGGCGTCGGCGATGCCCAAGTCGACGATTTGCGGGCCCGTCAGCTGGCCGGCCTCGAGGGCGAGGTCGCGCAGCGCGGCGGCGGAGGGGAGCTTGTGCCGGAAGAGGCTGGCCATGGCCGGGGTCAGCGGCAGGCCGTAGGTGAGCTCGGGGAGGCAGAAGAAGCCGCGCGGGGAGGGGGCGAGGCGGTAGTCGTGGGCCATGGCGAGCATGAGGCCTGCGGCGTAGCCGTGGCCGTTCATGAGGGCGACGGTGGGCATGGGGTATCGTGGGGGGGGGGGGGGGGGGGGGTCAGGCATACTTTTTTTTTTTTTCTTTTGCAACTTTTCTTTTCTTTGTCCAACATTTTCATTTTTCCTTTTCAACCGCGCCAAGAATAAAAAACGGGGGGGGGGGGGGGGGGAAGAAAACCTACGTCAAAAATCGCACCCAGAGGCCGTAGTAAAAGGGAAAAAAGACTTCTTTATTGGCCAGCGTGTGCTCGAGATCGAAGCCGTTGGAGTAGTTCTTGGCAATGCCCGACGTGGTGACGACGACGCCGGGCGCATAGTCGCCGAACTCGAGAATGTCAAGCGCCGCGAGCAGCGTCTTGCAGAAGGGCGTTGTGAGGCGGTTGTCGGGCGGCGAATTCCACGTCAACAGGTAGACTTGGGGCTGGGGCTCGGTGCATGTGAGCGTGCCGCCGGGGTGCTTGCCGCATGGGCCGATGGGGAGTTCGAAGAGAGAAGAAGAGGACATGATGTGGTGGCGTGTGAGATGAGAGGGTGGAATTGAAAGGGCGGGATAAGGAGAAGCTGTGAAATGGATATCGCGGTTCAAATAGAGGATGGTGAAGCTGCACGAGAGGTACAGTTGGTGTAGTCGGGGTTTGATGATGGCATCCGTTTTTGGGGGGGAGGGGGGTCGGACCTCGGTAGATCGGAGGGTGGGGGCGCGGGGGGACTTGTACGAGATGGGATGCAAGTGTCAATGTTTAAACTCGGCGTTGAACACGGTTATATCGAAATTTTGTATAGGCAATTGGGAACAAGGGTGAAGAGGGGAAATTGATAATCATGTGTGTTGGAATGATGGCTATTGGGCTGACTGCGGGGGTTGGTGATGATTGTGTAGGCTGCGCGAGATGTCACAAGCTAACACAGCTGGCATGGTGCTTGGGCACGGCAACGCGACAGGCATAGTTGTTTCTGCAATTTCTCTTCTATAAGTCAACCAATTCACATTTCATGGAAGTCATCAAGGAGATACGTTAGATTTCAACTTTGCGACCAAATGTTTTCGCCCGAAACCGCATGCTGCTTCTACCACGTGGTGCGATGTGGCTGTAGTCCCCCACTGCCAGAACTCGATCTTGAAGATGGATGTGCCGGTATGGAAACGTCCTTGGCTTCAAGGTGTGATTATTATTGCCGGGGAGTCGCGAGGAAAGAAGTGATAGCTGAGTGCTTATGATGGAGCTTGTGCAGGCGCAGGTACGCGTGCTGCTGAAGCTCGAGGATCTTGTTCGCCTGTTGTTGTATTGTGCCGCTGATCTCAGACTATAAAACGGGTAGTGGAGAAGCTCGGGAGAATAGATGAAGCTTCTATGCGTGCAGCCGCGGCGTCGACAAAGCCAGAGGTACCTAAGGAGCCAAGATTTCCTTCGCGATGAAGCACAGAATGATAGAACTTGACCATGTTAGGTCTTGACAAAATTGGGGTTATGCAAGTGTGCTTGTGCAGCTGCCAACCCAACACTCACATCACAGCAAACGCTGCATCCAACATGGCCATCTACTAACCACCAAACGCCACCAGACGCCACCAACGGAGAACTAGCCAGGTACACACAATCAAATTGACTTGACCACCACATCTTCTTCTTCTAATTCTTCAGCCAAAACTCCCTCCTCTGATCAATCTTTTCTTGGCGCCGGCCGCCTTGCGTCGCATTGCGCCCCACCACCCGCTGCACCTCCAGCACTCACTCTGGTCGCAAATTGACCTGCTCCTCTTGAGCTTGAGGAGCTCCAAAAAAAAGAAGAGGACAAGCTGGAACCTCCCAACTCTCAAGCGCCGCAGCAGCAACATCACCACTTCCAACAAACCCACACATGCCATCCCATCGACAGCGCCGTGCTTTTTTAAAAGCCGCTGGCAACCTCTAGCGCCACCGATTTGCGATATTGAAACACAGTAGTCGACGGAAAAAGAAGGAAAAAAACACAGCCCATGGAGGAGCAATCGCCGCCGCGGCAGCAGCGTCAACCCCGCAGCAATAGCGGCAACAGCAGCAGCAACCCCTTTGCGCAGCCCAAGCGCAAGATGGGCCCGATGGAACGGTCAGCGCGCAAGACGCTCCGCGAAGAGTACGCCCGTCGCCAGGCCGAGGCCGCCGAGAGTCTCGTCCGCGAACCCCTGCCCAAGTATGTGCCCAAGCCCGTCGGCGGCTGCCACGTCTTCTTCCACCCGGACCTGGGCATCGGCGGCGCCGAGCGCCTCGTCGTCGACGCCGCTGTCGGACTGCAGAACAAGGGCGCCAAGGTGGTTATCTACACGAACCACTGCGACCCGAACCACTGCTTTGACGAATGTCGCGATGGTGAGCTTGCTTCCTCCTCCTCCTCCTCCTCCTCCTCCTCCTCTTCTTCTTCTTCTTCTGCTTCCCTTTGCCAGATGAAACGACGCTCCAGTGGCTTTTAAGCTAACTTTTTTGCCTCCGCGCGCGCCAGGCACGCTGGATGTCCGCGTCAAGGGCTCGTGGCTCGTCCCGCGCTCCCTCTTTGGCCGGTTTACCATTCTCTGCGCCATCCTGCGCCACATCCACCTCTTGCTGCACATTTGGCTCACCGGCGAGCTTGAGGACCTCAAGCCCGCCATCTTCATCGTCGACCAGCTCTCCGCCGGCCTGCCCTGGCTGCGCCTACTCGTCTCCCCCAAGACGGGCATCGTCTTTTACTGCCACTTTCCCGACCTGCTCCTCGTCCAGGGCCGCCACGCCTCACTCCTCAAACGGCTCTACCGCATCCCCTTTGACCGCCTCGAGGAGTGGTCCATGGGCTTTGCCGACGCCGTCGCCCTCAACTCCCACTTTACCAAGAGCGTCGTCCAGCTGACTTGGCCCGAGCTGCTCGAACACACGACCGCCCGCGTCATCTACCCCTGCGTCGACACCGACGCCAAGGAAGATGAGCTCGCCGCCAACGACGACGACGACAACGATAACGGCCCTCCACTGTTCCCCGCCGGCGACCGCGTCCTCCTCAGCATCAACCGCTTCGAGCGCAAAAAGGACATTGGCCTCGCCATACGCGCCTTTGCCGCCATCCCCGCCGACCAGCGCCGCGGCGTGCGACTCGTCCTCGCCGGCGGCTACGACCGTCGCGTCGCCGAAAATGTCGACTACCACCGCGAACTGCAGTCCCTCGCCAACGAGTGCGACCTCGTCCACGACACCATCAACGCCGCCGACAACCCCACCGCGCGCCAGCCCGCCGACACAACCGCCCCCGTCCTCTTCCTCCTCTCCGTGCCCGCCGCCCTCAAGACCAAGCTGCTGCGCGCCGCCTCCCTCCTCGTCTACACTCCCGCCAACGAGCACTTTGGCATCGTGCCCCTCGAAGCCATGCTCGCGCGCGTCCCCGTCCTCGCCGCCAACACGGGCGGCCCCACCGAGACCGTCGTCGAGGCCGAGACGGGCTGGCTGCGCGACCCTTATGAGCCGCTCGCCTGGTCAGCCGTCATGCGCCGCACGCTGAGCCTCTCCGCCGCCGACGCCGCGCGCATGGGCGACGAGGGCCGCCGTCGCGTCAAGGACACCTTTGGGCGGGACAAGATGGCCACGTCGCTCATGACCGTCGTCCGCGATATTGCCGCTGCCCGCCGCGACTCCGACGCCGACAATACCATGATTATTGTCGTCGTCGGCACCGCCTTTTCTCTCACCCTCGCCGCGCTGTCCCTCGGCATCGCCCTTTGGATGATGCACGACATGAAGAAGAATGCGGCTGTGAGGGAGGCAGGTCCTATGCTGTGAGAGGAGGAAGATATTTGTACGAAATGGAAAAAAAAAAGAAACTTGCATGTACATATATTTACACATTTGCGGAGAAATTATCGCGCCAGAACCTCATTCTGTTTAGCTTCATCTACATGCCTTTAACATCTGACTTTGCCAATTAGTCGTACATGCATTGTACACTGTACAACACACGACACATTCTTATCTCTCTATATATAAGTGTGTGTGTGTGTGTCTGTGTGCGTGTATTGTGCTATACGCATAATAGCTTCGCATGGGCGAGATAGAATACTCCTTCCGTCCGTCGACAAGAAGCGATTGGTGGCAAAGCAGTCACATGCAAAAAAAGTCCAATCGAGTACAAAAAAAAAGTGTAGGCCGCACTATTGGGCAGACAGACAAGACCTTGATCAAATTAGCCTCTCCGAAGAATAAGATAAGTCCGTCTATACAGATGCCAAGTGCTGATAAGTAGTTATACAGCGTGCCAGCAAGCGTGCATGCCAGAGAATGATATAATATAGTAGAAGAACAAATCGACAAGAAGCCAAACCATAAACGTTTCAGCAGAAGAAAAAAATTCCACACCGCCCAAAAGGGTATTTCCCAATCTTTAAAAGTAAGTCTCAACAGAAGATATGGTGGTCGCAGTGCAATAATCCAAAAGGAGAAGGAAAAAAAAGGCTGATCCCAGGACTGAAAATGCAACAAATATTCCACCCAATGCATAGAACATTATCAAACCTCCGTCATCGTGTCCCCAATAAAGCTAGTATAAATGTCCTCTCCAAAATATATCGTACGCGTCATCACTCCTGACTCGCAGGAAGTCATGAGAAGAAAAAATAGTATGTAGTGCTTGATCTGGTCAAAAGATAGAGCGTTCAATCGTTGATGAGTCTGTGTGCATTGTGCTCATAAGACCATGTCATATGTCTTCAGTCATTTCATTCATCGCAAATCGCGAAATGTTTTCGTAAAAGGCTGTTCATACCCCCGTATCATCAGGGTGTAGCACAACACGCTTCGCCGTCTCGTCACTGGCAATGCTAATGTTGCTTAAGTTGGTGTCCCGGCGTCGCGCTTCGAAAGGGCGCCGGCGTGGGGCTGGGCTGAGAGTGTTCTTCTTTGATTTGGTCATCAGCCAGAAACCGTCGTCGCTGCCGTCATCATCCTCTGGCTCCTCAGACGGGTACTGCTCGTCGGCTACCCGCTCCATAGGGCTCTGTGGTGTGCTTTGATCAAGGTGTACCGCAAGAGGGCCGCTGTCCATGGCAGGGTGGTTGCTGTATACCGACTGCTCCGTGGCGTAACCATTGTCAAGCTTGCTCACGCACTCGGGACCTAACGACTCTCCAACCCCGGGAAGAGGTGTTCGATGAGGAACTACACCGGGCCTCCCGAGTAGCTCGGCTTCCATATCCGCAGAGACAGAGCTGGCGTTGCTCAACAATGCGGGAAGTGATGGGTCCGATTGGAAAGCCAAGATCTTTTCCGAAGCAGTCTTGCTTGTGGGAGCCGTTCCCATAGGGCTAGTTGTTTCACTTGGGCTTGTGAGAGGCGTAGCAATGACTTCCATCGAGTCGGTGCTTGCAGACTTGACTGTAGCTTGAGCACTGTTCTTGCCGTGGCTGGCATAGCCAACTTGCTGCAAAGACATGGGCCGGGGTTTGACCACTGGTAGGGTTTGGCTTAGACCGTCAGCTCTGCAGCCGGCCATGTCTAGGTGCGCGGCGATTGAGGACTCGGGGCTGGACGCCAGAGCTTTTGTAGAGTCGGCTTGGGAAGCCAAGTCATCTGTAGAGTCAATTTGATCAATAAGTCCCACCTCGCGGCGAGCTTGAAAATCGGGATCCGATTTCGGGTGGGCGTTGCGGTAGCTGGGAAAAGTAACGGGTGACGATGATAGGGGCGAGGTGTATGCGCTTATGCTGGTCTTGTCCTGGTCAATCGGTCGCTTGACGAAACCACTCGCAGCGCCAGGGTGGTTACCTGCAGAAATCACGGGCCGGCTTAGGCCAACTTGGGCCGTGGCCCGTCTATCCAAGCTGTTGAACAGTCCGATCCTATGTCTATTGTCTGCCGAAGCATCATTGGTAAGCGTCTGAATCCTGGCAGGCTCGGTAATGACGGGAGACAGGCTCAAAAACTGGTTGCCCAATTTGCTCTGAGATGCTGTAGCACGGTGCCGGCTGCGACCTGCAGGTGGGGGCGGTGGCTCATGGGCGAATGCCTCGGACAGGCCAGAGCCAGAACGGTTCAGATCGGGGGCCGTTAGCAACGAGGTGCGAGAGCCGTGACCAGCATCTGATGGCGAAGCAGCAATAGTGGCGGAGGCGGTGGCGGAGGCGGTAGCGGAGTGGTCGATAGAAGGAGCGATGTGTCTTGAGCCAAGGTAATCGTCGGGCATGAACATGGAACGCCTGTCGACGTTGTAGTGGGGCGTGTTGGGCATACTCCTGTAATAGTTCTCTCCAGTCGAGCTGGCGGCGGAGCTGTCTGCACGCCTGCGACTTCTGCTGTCGCTTCGTTCGCCGAGCGGGTGAATAACTTTGTCGACAGCCTTCTTGACAGCAGATCTCGCACGCTCCAGGAACGTGAGTGGCACGACAGCCGCAGACATTTCCTTTTCGTCGACCTGAATCTTGCGCCCACCAAGCGGTCGGGCAGGATCTGTCTCCTCAGCCCAAGCGCGTGGATTGGGTAAGTTCTGGACTACCCACGGATGTCGCTTGATGTCCTTGACGCGAATGCGTTTTTCAGGATTTTTGGTAAGCATTTGACGAAGTAAATCGTACAAGAGGTTGTCAACGTCTTCATACACGACATCGTTATCGTCTCGGTAGGGTCGGCTGTTTTGACGTTTGTAGAGCGAGGTCCCCGCAGGCGAGGTAGATGGATGAACAGGGGCTAGCCTGCGTCGAGGTATATACACATCCTCGGTGGCAATCTTCTTGAACATTTGAAATTCGTCCTCGGCGAGGAAAGGGATGCGGGCAAAGATGAGGCAGTAGAGGGTCACACCAAGAGACCAGACATCAATCTGCTCCGAAACCTTGGGCTGCTCCTTGTCGAGATCAGTGTAGCAGAGTTCGGGAGCGAAGAAGGCGGGTGTGCCGACCGTCTTGGCGAGCTCTAGGTCGTTGTCAAAGTCCCTTGCCTCGGACTCGGAAACAGGCTCGTCAGGCTCACCGTCACGGATGGGTCGGCCAAAGTAGGAGACTCCAAAGTCGGAAATCTTGACGCGGTGGTTTTTGCTCCAGAGCAGGTTGGCGGGCTTAATATCTCGGTGAACAACGCCTTGATAGTGGAGGTATTCCAAACCGAGAATGGTGTCTTGGAAGGCGGAGCGAGCTTGATCAAAGGTAAAGCAGGGAACGTATGAGTAGTCGTCGGCAAAGGGGTCGTGAACGTGAGGATTGTAGTCTATCGAAGACATGTGAGAGATGATGGAGTCGGCCATGCTAGGAGAGCGACGGCGGTAGCGAGAGCCATTTTCGTCCAAGCCGTCAAAGGCAGCAACAGGATCAACATCGGCAGTCAAAGGGCCGGGGGTTACCATGTTATCCTCCCAGTAGACTTCTTCGCTCAGCTCAGTCGGGCCAGCGACGGAGAAGGAGGCGGCAGATGGTCTACGTGACTGGTATTGGAAGGAAGTAGGAGAGGTAGAGCGAGAAGGATGATCGGTGGAGAAGTCAAGGTCATTGTTTGAGGAAATGCGTGACCAAGAGACGCTGCTCGACTCGTCGGCGGCGCCATGCTCAACACTCCAGTAGTTTGCAGAAGTGTTGTAGTTTTGGGCCATGTGTGCACGCTTGATCTCCTTTATGGCCTGACGGCGCTCAAGCATCTGGCCATATTGAATCTCCTGCTGAGAAGGAGCTTCACCACGCATCTCACGCTCGGCTCGATGACGCTCGTAGAGACACACGTGGGGGAGACCCTTTTTGCGCCAGACAACCTCGCCGAGCTCGACGTGTTCGAGAACCATGTAAATCTTTTTGAGTTCGGGGTCGTCAATGATTTCGAGAAGGGCGACGACGTTGGGGTGACGGATCTTTTTGAGAATGGCGATTTCTTTCTTGGTCTTGTCCTCGGGGGACATGGCGGTAACCTTGCCTAATCGGCGCTTCTTGGAGAATCGAGGAATAATCTTGATGGCAACATTGTCGCCAGTCTCGAGATTGCGGGCAAGTTTGACCTTGCCGTGCATACCACGGCCAATTTCTTCAATGACTTCATACTGATTGATCATCTTACGACCAGTGACGTTGTCATTGTCGATGAGAGCCTTGTGGGTTCTGCAGAACAAGAAAAAGAGAGTTAGCAGGCTTGCATGAGGGGTACACTGCATGAGATGTAACGGAGTCTTGTGAAGTTGAAGACATGATGGTGGCGTAGGGCGACGTCGACATGGGCGCTGGGTAGAGAGAGGGCCGCTGAAAAAGACTCGACTTACTCTCGAACTTTGTGTGTCTGCAAAGGATGCAGAAACGGCGCTCCAGACGGGGGCGCTGGAGTATTGCACTCGGATACGGACGAGGCATGGAGGATATGGCGGGAGGGCGTAGGACTGAATAGGCCAATAGAAGAAACGGGAGTGCTGCTGGCGGTGCGCAAGGGTATGGAGGCGGACTGGGCTAGAGAGCCTGCGGAGGGCGTATCGTGAGGCCACAGAGGTGGCTCGGTAGAAGTGTTTGGCTGTTCCATCATGACGGATTGAGAGTCGTTGCGAGGGAGGCTCGAGTCGACATTATGGTTGATCTTGTGGCCAGCCGAGGGGCAGAGCAGGCAGCAACGAGGAGTCGTGAACGTCCGAAGACGAGGACTTTAGGGGAACATGGTAAAAGTAATCTGCAGCGTAGATCGGCAATTCAGGTGCTAAGAATCGTGGAAAGTCGGGAATGGCGGGATTGTCGCGGTAAATTGGGGTGGTAATGGGCGGTGATGGAGATGGTGAGTAAAGTGGTGGGAAAAAGTTCAGAGGGGAGAAGGGCGGATAAGGCGGGATATTTTGGTGGTTTTGTCGAGGACCAGAGCAGAGCGAGAGCGGGCAGCAGGAGGTGATGGGCCGGCGATGGGCAGCATGGCGGACGGCAAGCGGGGGTCAGGCCTGAAGAGTGCTGGGATTAGCGTGGAACAGCGCTAAAAAGTTGGTTCTTGGCGATGCAGTACAGTGGATGTTGCAGTGGGTGTTGAGTTGATGGGGCGCTGCAAGTACACCTCGCCCCTACGATACCTACCTACCTAAACTACCTAGGTACCCAGCAGGTAGGTAGGTACCTACTGCCCACTGTAGCAAATGCAGGTAACTGTTTAGCACTAGCACTCTAATAGGAGCAATACGTCTGATTATCTTGGCCAAGATAGGCTTAGCTGGGGTGATTACTAGACGACAGAAGATAAGAAAAAGAGGCTGAACATTTGCCTTTTTTCCCCCTCCTAGCGGATGATGGCCGGAGCTTGTTGGTGAGTGTACTAGACCAGGAACAAAGTCCTAATTGAGCGGATTGTGGTGGTGGCGGAAAGAAATGGTAAGTTGAGCTCTGAATACAGTTCGAGAGGGTGTGGCAACGGCTTCGCTGATAAGAAATCGAGGGGCCAAAAATTGCGACAAACGGGCCATCATGCACAGTGTCATTGAAGTGATTGGCACACAGTGTTGTAGCATCGTCACTATTTCGTAGAAGAAGACGCCTCTTTTTTTTTTTTTCCTCTTGTTAATCGACTAGTTTGGCAGCAGGTACCCAGCTGCCGGGCCACAACGGATGGGCAACAGAAGCGAGCGCTCTGCCCACACTACCTTGCGGCCAAAAGCGCTCGACTTTTTGTTGTCCCACCAGAGCGTTCATGGCTAGGTAGTACGTTGTTACGGCGCTGCTGCACGCCAAGACAGCTTTCGGCGCCCTTTATCATTATAACTGCGAGGCCTAGCAACCTGGCACCTGGCTTCAACGCATCACCAGGAACAGTCAAAGATTGACAAGAAAAAAAATGTACGTACTTGCATCATCTGCAGGGGCTTCAGCAACCAGACAGCCACCCGCTACTACTTAATCCATTTACAGAGGTCTGCCTGTGCCGCCAACGGAGCGAAATTGCCAAGCAGCCCGCCGAGTGGTATCTTGGTGGATCCTGTGGGGCCCTGCAACAACACTTTTTACAGGGGATGCGCCGCAGTATCTCAAAATAAATAGTGCCATTTTCTTACCGTTTCCTTGTACATAGGTATCCGTACTTTGTACTGTTGTGTGCGACCAGGATTCAGGCCTTATCGTCAACCAATGCTGTGTGCCTGCTCTTGCTGCGCAAGCCGATTGCTTTGCCTGCACCAAGCCGACCAGAGCCCGTGCGTCCGGACTTGGCAGCAAGGCACTAATTTTATCATTACATAAGGCACTCGATAACGTTGCCCGATGATCCGCTAAATTTTAGCCACCGCCACCATCTAAGTTTCTCCGTAGTAGCCAGAAAGATACTTGCATCTGCCTCAGAATGTGCACTGCAATCAAGTACCTTTTTCTGCTCACCTCACCTAGACGCCAAACACGGCGTTTCGCCTTGTCTCCTCCAAGCTTGCAACTTCACCAACATGGACCGTTTGCTCCTTTTCCGCACCATCTCCAAAGTCTATCATCCAATGCAGACAAACATGACGCCATCTTGATTTAATCCAATGCGATATTCATCTGCAGCTTCCAGCTGCCATCATTCATCTACTACCAGTAATTACGGACACGCAGGACGCACTGGCCTCCCGTCAAACAGCAATACGACACTTGAGCATATCCATGCAATCAACAATGCATCACCATCATACCACCATTCGCCGCTTACTATCATGCAGAACCATCCCTCGGCAGAGCCCTATTCGCCCGGCCCCCCGAGCCGCCTGCAGCCTCCAAGCAGGGACCGGTTGGCGCAATGGCGCCCAACAAAAAAAGAGCACTACGGACACCAATACACGAAATAGCCCGACAAGACGCAAGTGTTCAACGCTCTGTTTGACGCCTCCCCGCCTTTTGACAGCACACTTAAAGGCTTTGTGTGGCGCGCTATGTACACAGACAGATTCCAGCTAGAGGCTGGCTAAGACAGGACCCTGCCCAAGAACTGATTCACGCCAGAGCCGAGGTCTTGTCTCGTGAAATCCGATTTGACTCCCATCTGAACAGAGAGTATACATCCAAGACAAGATGGGTTCATGACTCGCGCCCAATCCTTGCGCTTTTCTCCCCGCCAAGCATGTGCTAACACGACAGCACTCTACGGATTACCTGTTGCTGTAAACCCTCACCACACTAGCTCACCGTCATGATATGCAAATGCACACGTCTTGCGTCCGGTCTCGTTGGCTTACCACCTTCTCCTTCTCTTCTCTGCGTGCCCAACTGCTCTAGGCCCTTTTTCGGCGCCCGGCATTAACAGACAAGGGCTGGCGGAGAGCAGGCCAGAACGAGGTTGGTTCCCGCACTCGGGCATCCCCGGCGGTCCCGCGACCTAGAATCGGCATCGTGAGATTTAGGGGCCCCGAACAAGTTTGGAGGACAAGCGTAAAAAAGTCCAGCACACCAGCATCCACGTAGCCCACCTACCAGTCCTCACGCTATTGAGTCGCCAGCACATGTGCTTCACATCCCGATGCATAGACCCGTTGGGCACCCATAACCATTGCGCCAGCCTGCCTTGCAGAGGCAGCGCTTCCGCCTTTTCACGGCTTCAAAGTTGATTAGCCTTAATCCGAGTTTTGTCGTCGGCAAAGAGCAACCGAGTGTCATCACCGCGACACACCATGCACGTGCTGCAGCGCGGCTCGGCAATGCATAAACTGCCTCTGACGTCGTCGTCCATTCCCGAACCCAGACAAGATGCATTCTGGTAGCACGCGCACGGCGGCCGCAGAAGATTGCCAAACCAGAGATGCCCAAAAGGCGAACAGAGTGGCCTGTGCTCATTCCCGCTGAACGGACAAAGTATTCTGAGCTAGGGTTTGACAGGGGGTTCACGATGCCTCCATCCTCCGAACTACTGGTAATTACGTGGGGGCCTCTTCTCACCTCCCTCCTCTGATGCCCCAGGTGTGGCCCAAAATACCACGCTACACGGCGACAGCGGACCACTCTTGGAAACCTGGAGTGTCGCCAAACCCCAGTGTTCCCCGGTGCGACGACGCGGCAATTGCGGGCGCCGCCAATTAAAACCCACCTTATGGTTGCTGGCCTCATACAACTGGCTTGTGAGTTGGAGACGTTTTCGCACCTTGGTCTCAGCCCCTCGTCTCCCTCCATGCGCGTCGCACACCCTCTTGATTCTCACGATTCCGAGTAAAGGCCGCTGGTTCCTCCCTGCTCCCGAACTCGCAAACCGTAGGGGTCCATCTTGTGCAACACGAAGCAGTTGGCAGTCTTGAAATGTGCCAATGTGGACAAGGCGTATGCATTATCGGCACTGCCGCGTTCTTCATCTCATATGCTTGCACGCCCTCGCTCAAGAAGGATGACGGAGGACATTCATGTGCAGCGTCACTTTCAAGACGTGACATGTCAGAAGCGGAAAACAGGCGAAACGCTGCGCCAGAAACATGGCGCATCCCCTGGTATACGACAAGGGTATTCGAGTATTGGGCCCATGTTTGCTAGTGTGCATGGGAGTGCCAAGTCTCCTCGCCTCTTGCCGAGATGCACATTGTAAGTTGCATCTATGTACTCCTTTATGTTGACGGATTTGTCTGCGCGTCTCGGCAGTCTTGAAGTGGTTAATATCACGCCTGAAGATTACCAGCGTTGGTCATTTTATTATTAGGCCAGAAAGAAACGAAGAGGCCCGACGCCACTGCAATAGCAGGCTTGCAATAGCTCCCTCACACGGGCCATGAAAGCGGCACACGATGCTCCTGCGAGGCGAATGGCTTGCATCAAATGCGTTCTTTTCTTTGCCCGTGGTTTCAATTAAATCTTTCGAGATACTGGCAGCGGGTGCATTGTATGCGGGCTTTTCTTATCAACAGGTACGTCATTGTCTAATGAATTGTTGCCGCCTCCTTTTTTACGTTTGAGCCTGAGCTTATTCATCATGCCTGGCGCATTGGGTTAAAGTTTAAAAGTGTCAGAAGAAGAAACAGGCAGCCCAGCCTAAAGTCTACTTTTGATTTTCAGCCAGCCAAAGCCTCACTTGTGTACTAACTATTTACTCTTCCGTACAGACACAGCTGAAATCTGACTAATGTATTGGTTCTGATCAGCGTTGGATATCATCAGGTGTATGTAATTCATCTGCTGTGTACATGATGCCATTGGGTACACGGCTGCGTTTTCGTCGAGTATCGCCCCATGAGTTCGTCGCTCGCGCGAAACGGCCCGCGCATGCCACTAATAACATGCCGGCTCCGTCGTTGAGTTTATGAGCTCCATAATCTTTCGGGGCTGGTAATAAATAAATCATACGAAAGCGGACTTGACGCAAGCAACATGCTCGTCATGCATGCCAAGGCGCCTCTTTCAGCACTGTGCAATCATGAGGGAGGAAAGTTGCCGATCTGACCTCCATTACAAACTGCAGATGCATACGACGAGAGAATCAGGTTTCACAGGCAACGCGTTGTCTTTCCGAGCCTATTTATGCAATGTTTGAAGATTCCCATGATGCGAGCATTGCAGTTTCATGGTCAACTCATCAGCGACAAGGGAAGACTTGTTTTCGAGACTGACTAATCC